GCTCCGCTCAACATGTGACCTGATGTGTAAACAACACACCGGTCACAAACCTAGTTATTATTATTATTAAACTGAAACGTTTCTATCATTCTATTTTTTCTTTAGGCCAAACGCCGTGAATATGATAAAAAAAATGGTTTAGAGAAAGAAATGATTAAATATAATGTAATGTCTTATTGAGAATTCGTAATTAATAAATTATTTTAATCAATGGTAACTTTCTTTAATTAAGTTATATATACATAAAACAAAAATAGAAAAAGAAAACGACAATAAAATGTCCAATTAACATAGTTATCACGGTACACGCACAGAAAAAAGTACTTGAAAATTGTCGAAGAAAAATTACCATCATACATTCACTCCCATAAAATTCAACAACACAACATCAATATTATCAGAGACACGAAAAGCAATCTTATTGCTTAGAAAATAAGGCATATTAAGACATAAGCACTAGATATTCTTAAGCGTTACATGTATTTTATATAAATATTAGTAGTTGAGTTACCTTTATTCGTTCATTCGTATTTACAAACGAGTTGTTTCGTTTCCAAATATAATTAGATTACAGTCAAAATTTTAATCAATGTCAATGAAAGTCATGGAACAATTTATTTGAGCTAAACAAGTAATACTCCAAGTAATAATACAATACTCAATTGTCTTTATAGTGAAGTCTAATTTCGTATGATACAATTTTTAATAAGAAATTACAATTATTTTTTTAGTCCAAAAGACTGCCATAGTGAATTTAAAGGCCCTATTCCACGAGATGTCTTGGAAGCATGTTGGATAAGATTATTAGTGTATTGTGAATAATCGAGCAATCTCGTTGTTTGGGCCGTATCAAACCCGCATTGTTAGCAAGACAGAGCGGAGCTCTATTAAATTAAAAAAAACTAGCGTGTTTCTAATAGACATACAACTATCATATTTCTAAACTAATAGTGCGATTACTAAATGTTTGTATGGCTCCGAGCCTGTCTTACAACCGGTAATACATAAATTACTTAATTTAAATGGACTTATGGAGACCTAAAACCAAACGATCATACTCTGAGCTAGATACAATTGCACTTAGAGACTGATCAATTGTGTGTTCATGTGTGTTCATGTGTTAATGTGTTCTCCTATTTCATTCGTTTGTAATAAAAATGATAGAGAGAGGATGTGAAATCACGTTAGATATACATGTAAGAATAGATGCCATCTGTACTGTTTGTCTTCCTAATACTCTCAGACACACCACTGTTCTCACTCGCCGTTCGCAGTTTAATGGCCGCATGACGCCAGCTGTGTGCGCGCGAGACGACATACTTCTTCTCTTTCTCACATATGTACGTACTATACTATTGATATTGAAATATTTGTCTTCCTAATTATCGGCTCTTATACATTGAAAACATATTTAATCCAAGGTGAATATTCGCAACAGTGCATTGTTCAGAATTTTAATCTATGTTTAAAATAAAGAAATAATTAACGGAAGCCCGTTATGAGTTCAAATTTTATATTTATACTCCAACGTTTTAGGAAGAAATATGTAATTATAGGTGTATAAATTATTATATATTTACGATATCTAAAGGAAGTTAATAAGACGAATAACAAAATATATTACTACACTGCGCATTATATAATGGTTGGACTGTCAGGTATATAAAAAACTAGAAAACAAAGTATGTTAGATAACTTAGTGATGCTCTCAAATTATGAAAAAGTTAGCTCTGAAAATCCATTATAATACAACGCGCAGTGAATAATATAAAATTATGTCTAACATTATATGGAATGACAACAAAGTTTCCGATATATTTTATATATATATACTAAAACATTAAACAATTTTTTTATAACAATGTTGCATTGATATGTTGATGATTCGCAAAATATATTTTGTAATCTGTGCCAACTGCGCGCCAAAACGCTAGGACTAGTGGCGCCCTCTGTGCAGTAATATTAATCTATACTATTACACTACGCCTTGTGTACATCTATAAAAAACGTCACACGTTAAAGGGAAGAGCAGGGAGGGGGTCGACGAAGTTTGAGAGTTACTTTTTTTTGACGTCACATTTCGAGTAGTAGCGTTTAAATATTTACTACTTTATCTGTATAAGCACAAGGCATACATTTCTTTAACAAAATATGTTGTATTGCACCAAGAACAGCGAGAAGGGTTTCGAGGGGAGGGGAAGGGGGTATTCATGTAATTCGTATGACGTGTTTTTATAAATGTACCCTTTTATATCTAGAACAAAAATTGTATAGAGTCACTAACCGAGAATCGAACGGAAGACCTATGAGTATTATAGCCTCGAGCAATACTATTTAGAGGTAGATAATGTAAATTTCTATAATACAAAAAATCAGCTAAATATATACATATATGAGGTAAGCATGTTTATATGCTATGACGGAAAATATTAAAACTTATCTATATATATATTAATTTCTATTTAAGTATATATAAAAGTCATATATTGTGCAATTCTATTTCAAGCACTTCGTGATAGATATATATATATATTACCACAGATAAAAAAGCAGTATTCATACTGCCCAAAACATGTGGGAATACAGGGTAACAATTCTTATTTTTATCAGTATGTATTTTAGCCTATACAATCAAGAAAATATATATACATCTATATTACGTCGATTCTGTGCATTCGTTTCGAAATATATGAACTGTTTACTATTTAATACATTAAAAAAAAACTAAATACAGTTGAGTTACTTGCCAGTTCGTTTTAATTGAATCTGTAAACTGAACTGGACGGTAGCTAAACAAAGTTTATTAGAAAAAATTACTTGCATAAGTGACTAAAATGTGTTATATGAATTTGAATTTAATATATTCAATGTATAATTGTATCCAGTGACGTAAAAATAGGATGACAGCGAGGGCAAAACACCACGTTCTCCCAGCCACAACCGTAAGAGTAACAATTGTTACATAATTTAAAAAATGTGGTGTTATTGAATTACATATTTGTAATATTATATAAGTTAATTTTTAAAATAAGTTATTATTATAATATTATATATAAGATAGTCGTAATTTTTATGTAATACTTAATTTAAAAATGTGCTCATTATACAATATTTAAATAATATGAACGAATGTAAAATTTGTCAAATACAATACAAACTTAAACAGTTCAATTGAAAATTGTATAATCTTTTAAGTAGAGATGTGTTAACTCGAGTTGCGGTGAATTCTAGTTAACTCGAGTTGAATTCTGCCAACTCGAGTTGGAAGAATTCAACTGGTAAATGAACGAATCAAGCGAGAGCATGATTCGGTCGTCGAACAACAATGACATGAAATTTTCCGATCATGTCATATAATACAATTTTCAATCGTCACAACTGTTTCAATATTGATTTGAGGGCGTTATCATTTTTTTTTCGCATGTTCGTACGGATATGTTATCATTAAAATGATTATGCCTTCTATAAGTCCTTCCGTGGCTTTGAAATGCCATTTCTACTCGCCCCCTATGATTCCGTGAAGCTTTCAAGGCTAGCTGCGGCAAACACATTAGATTTGTTTGAAAAAATAAAAAACAAAAAAATAGTTTATTCCAGGTAACTCGAGTCGACTCGAGTTACCTGAATTTCAACTCGAGTTAACTCGAATCATGTTATTACGAGTTAGCACATCTCTACTTTTAAGTGTGAACGAATGAGTGAATGAAATATTCTCATTCTTTGTTGTTTATGGTCGCGTTTATAAAATTTATAAGATACTAATTACAAATATATGCTTAAATCAGCTTGATAATGGGTTTATAAATTTACATAATGTATTCTATGCCTAAAAAGACTCACCCAGCGTATTTGTTACAGGTAAATCAGTTTAAAGACGTTTTTATATTCGTTGTTGTGTAATACAGACAGTCAAGAGGGAAAGGGATGGATATTAACATGAACAACAGTCCATATTACTAACAATCCCTACATATAACATGTTTGTACCGTGCGAGGAATTGAAGTTGTGACCATCGTAAATAAAACGGTGTGATAAATTTCAATCTACCCGCTGCTCTTCTCCCGTGATCATGGCGGTTGAACCACTGCCGAAATATCGGGAACTCAATAAAAAAAAACGTGGTAAGATACCGTGATTTTCTAATTATAAATAATAACCGCGTCAAACTAAAAACAGTATTGATATATTGGGCTCGTACTAATGGAATATCAAGTAATATCATGCAGATTATGGAAAAAGTTGGAGTCGAGTCGTATCAACAACTAAAGGGATTGATGGAAGATCGTGGAAAGTGGCAAGAGCTCCACCGACAAGAGTGCGGTTCTTAAATTATATATGAATATAAAGTATGTACATATATTTGTTTATCTGCTGACCGTACAGTATACAAACGCAAGAAGTCTTTAAATTGATTCACCTGTACTCTATTTATACCATAGATTAGTAACCATAGTCTTTTAATATCATTAGATAAAACACGTATTACAATATCACACTGCTGGGCATTTATTTAAAAATAAACAGCCATAGACAACTTTATTCATGAAACGCTTTTTTTTAAATTGGAACCGCAAATAAGCTTTCATCTCACTTGATGGTAAGCGGTAACCGTCGCTTATTTACATGAACAGCAATATGGACATCACGTTATCATGTGATAGTCGTGATACCACTCGTGTTTTTCAGTTAATTTCAGGTAGTGCCACAACCTTTTTGAAAATTAACAAAAAGCTGGCAACATAGGTAACGTTAAATTTGTCTCGAGATAAAGAAAAAAACAGATTACAAGCAGAAAACAGATAATAGGAGGGTATTATCTGTTTTCTGCTTGTAATCTGTTTTTTCTGGCAACATAGGTAACGTTAAATTTGTCTCGAGATAAAAAACAGATTACAAGCAGAAAACGGTTAATACCCTCTAATTGAAACGGGGATCGAAATTACGATCGCCTGAGCAAAGGTCAGGCGGGAGTTGGCCTTCAGCCGCTCCATAAGTCCTTCCGCGGGTTTGGAGTGCCATCTGCACTCGCCCCCTATCGTCCGGTGAAGCTGTAAAGGCCAGCTGCGGCCATCAGCATTAGAGTAGTTCAAAAAAAGGTAGTAATTACTGGTACATGTGTCGCAAATGATAGTAAGCGGTAAAGCAACCCAGCAGAGGATAGAGTAGCTCTTAAGGCGAGTTCTCGTCGTCAACTTCTCGTATCACAGTGTCAGATTCCCAACGCGTCCTCTCGCCTATTAGAGCTTGGAGTTTCTGCGAAACAAACATTTTTTTTTAATTTATTTAGGACTAACAAACAGTTATACAATATTATATAGAGAGATAAATGTATCACCAACGACGTTAATCATAGTTAACTTAAGACAATAATTTTATAATCGTGCAAATTTATTAGTGGTGAATTTTATACAAAGTTACAAATATCGACTCAAAATGCAACTTATTTGTATAAAGAAAGCGTAAAATGTAATAAAATAAAATAATAATAATAAAAAAAAAGGAATTACTAAGAATAAAAATTAACATATAATATATTAAGTTACTTAACTATATGGGTATCATAACATTAATAATAATAATAGAATTGCAAACTCTTTGGACATTTTTAAATATTAACTAGCTTTTACCCGTGGTTACGCGCATTTTTTTTTAAATAAACAGTATCCAATGTTCATTCTAATACCTCCAAGAACATTCGTACAAAATTTCATGACGATCGGTTCAGTTTTTTGCGTGAATGAGTAACAAACATCCGTACTTTCACGTTTATAATATTGTTAAGGTTGTTGTTTATATATTGAATTCAATTCAAAATATCTTTATTCATGTAGGTCTATAACAGACTCTTATGATATGTCAAATCTACCGTCAGTTCGGAATGATATCGAGATAAGAAGAACTGACAAGAAACTCAGCTCGTATTTTTTTCAAATAATAGTGGAACATGTTTATAACAATACATCATTAAAATTCAAATTTGGGAGAATAGAGTGACCACCAGCATATGCTATCGCAAAGAACAAAAAATTTAATCAGTGTTCACAACCTGAACAGACCAGTCTCCACAAGCAGCACCCGTTCACGAGTACGACGTATGAGCCAGCCATCATTGCATTCAACCATATTTGAGGAAGTATATTTTTTTTTTATTGCCACTTTTGTCTTGCTACTGTTTGTACCTTCATTATAAGTATTTACCATTTTCTTACCACTGTTTGGTTTATGTCATGCATAAAGTTCATTCATTCTATCTCCCACAAAGAGAATAGAATAGAAAATCCATCATTTAAATAAACTTAATTTAAGTACTTTTGAATAAGCATAGTTATTTTATTTAATCTACCACTTCCATCCAATTTCATCATACAATAGTCATATCTCAGGACAATTCACACAGCGCCATCTAGTACCATGCTAATATGAACTTGTGTTATGGGTACTAGATGTATATATCATTGGCTTGAATACAAATGTTTAATCCAGATTATTACCAATCCCCTTTCCCTAGTGCGAGGAATCGAAGCCGCGACCAGTGGAACTGAAGCGGTGTGCTAAACAAGAACGGGGATTGTTAGTAATCTGGACAAAAAACACCATTGTTAGCAATGTACCACGCTAGGTTGATCTCCACGCGATTCCCCCTGGACATCATCGTGATAAATTCCCGGTGAATTTGTCATGTTGGGCTAACTGACCTGACGTCATTCTCATCTTATCTTTCAATTGTTGCTCTAAGTTTGGGAACCTGCCAGAGGTTCCCAAACTATTTTGTGTCGAAGACCCCTTGCCATATTTTTCGGTTTTGAGTAGACCCCCCATTCTTATCTGGTATTGTTTTTTTGTAATTTCCTAATCGAATCACTGCTCTAATCAAATGTCATCGATAGAAAAACACCTAACTCTACAATGAAACAATATTTACCTCCGGCTTATCTAACACTACGATCCTGTTTTCTATCTTAGGCGCCAATTCGCACGACTGCTGCTCCAAGTCATCCAATGATGCTCGACGTGTCAATCTGAAGAATAAAACAATATCTAAATATATATAACTCAAAGGTGACTGACTGACATAGTGATCTATCAACGCACAGCCCAAACCACTGGACGGATCGGGCTGAAATTTGGTATGCAGGTAGATGGTATGACGTAGGCATCCGCTAAGAAAGGATTTCGATTAATTCTACCCCAAAGGGGATAAAATAGGGGATGAAAGTTTGTATGAAACTTTGTCAATTTTAAACCGATCGGGCTAAGACTTTGCATGCATAAAGCTACTATGACGTAGGCATCCTCTAAGAAAGGATTTTGATAAATTCCACCCCTAAGGGAATAAATTAACGTGAGCGTAGCCGCGTGCAAAAGCTAGTATTTGATACAGTTCAAATTTAAATTAAAAAATCATTTATTCATGAAATAAATATCTCCATTATAATGTAAATTTTTTTATATTATATTTTTTTCTCTATCGTCCGTATCGGTCGTAGCTATTAAATGTAACGAAACACATGTATGTATTAGTTACTAATGTAAGAACTGGTTACTACGGTATCGTTACTTTAGTAGGTACAATTGACAGTCACAACTTTGTAGAAACTCTGTGTGGATGTTTAAAGAATTAAACAGTGCTTGTGTTATGGGTACTAGACAACTGATATAATACACAGATACATTTTTTTTGTAATAACTTACATAATATTGTTAGGGTTCACATGGATATTTTCGAAAAATCTGATATTTTATACTAAAAGAAGGTAGTTTCATTATTACTCGGTATCGTTAAACTAGTTGCATATAACCCCCACTCATATCTTCTCTGTATAAAAGGGAGGGTTTTTGTAAGCCGCGGCATTCGGTCTTTGAGCACAGGATGTGCTGGTTGTATTTTAAATTGCTAAAGTGAATTGTGTTAGAGACATAGTTAAATTAATGTTATATAGTTGTTATTTTATTTTAATACATACTTTTACTAGTACATAGAGTTGATATATTTTACAATATACATAGAAAACACCCAGCCCGGCGCGGCTGAAGGTCAACTCCCGCCTGGCGGATACGATTTTAGTCTGAAAGCCCCACAAAAATAAATCGCTTAAATTTTTTATCTATCTATCTATCTATCATATATAAACGTACCTGTGATGCGTGGAATGAGAGGTCGGTTCTGTCGCAGATGACGACGCTCGCCTCAGTGGAGGTGGTCCATCCAGCTCGCTGCCGTCCAGCATCTTTACTAGACTATGTCTGTTGACCAAAAGGCAACCATATTTGCTTTTGGTAAAGCATTAAAATTATTTTTATGGTATACACACGCTCATACACGCTCAAACACGCACACACGTACCAAGACGCACGTGTACGCACTCACGGTCACACTGATACTAATAAATGCAAATGTGTGTACGTAATCTCGGCTAAGGGAGGTTTAGTACACCGGTTTATTAAGTTTATAAATAGACCTAAATATAATTTATTTATTACTTTAGTTGTTTTGGTTAGGTGCTTGGATCTGTAATATTGCGATCTGCATTGATCTATTGTGCTCGCCCTATTTCAGAGTCCGCTTCAATTCTTGTCCCTGACAGGTCTAGGCCTGTGAGGAACAAGAATGCGATGGTTTTTATCTCCTCAGGGTAGAGTGTAAACTTTCCAAAGGAGATATTTCGTTTATGCCTGAGTGGGCTACAACCTCATAAGATGTGTAGCGGCGTTTCCTCTTCAGTTTGGCAAAATCTGCAGTTTGTTGTGCATAGGCCTAGTTTTGCTATATGTTTGTTCAATACAAATGGTTAATTAAGTTTATAAATAGAAGAATTTGTGATAAGACATACCTCCTGCTCAGTGTGACGAGTGACTGCCGGTGTTTGGACGGTCGAGACTTGCCGCTCCTTACGTTGATTGCAGCGAAGTGGTTCTGTACCGCCATACCGATTTCAGGACACATGTCCTCGGATATCTGAAAAGAGGTACATTGTAGTCACATGGCCTATTATGTATGTTTTTTATGGATATAATATATAGGATGTAAGGAGGATGTGACTCAAAGAACAGTTGTTAGTTGAGAAATAGAAGTAATCTTTATTCAAATAAACTTAATATAAGCATTTTTGAATAGTCAAGTTTTATTATTCTACCGCTCATTTGGAATGACGAATGAGCAAGAACTTGTGTGTTGCTCTTTTAAATAAATATTATTTTAATTATATGAGAATGCCTTTATTGCTAATTCAGCCTACCCGAGATTTATTTTATAATATATTTTATAATAATGCACAATTACCGACATGTACCTCAGTTTTGCCGCCAAGCAGCTTGTATTTCATTCAGTAACAATTTACATTATGCTTGAAATTATAATTTATTTTTGGTAATGTTAGAATTCAAATCATTATTGTAGAAAAAATCCGATATTTTAAAAATATATTAAAAGAAGGTAGTTTGTTTTTAGTACTAATGAAGTACCCAATGTAAAGATTATTACGAATATTGTAAATAGCGCCATCTAGTATTTATAGATCGACCTACTACACTAACTTCGATCTATAAATATGGAGGTCGGTAGTTGAATAATCCTCTTTCGGTGGGTGAGCCGCGGCATTCACTCGACGAGCGCAGAGCGTACCGGTTGTGTTTTGGATACCAAAGTGAATTGTATTAGAAATAGGTTTTCCCGATCTTAGTTGGGCCTGGGGGGAAGCTGCAAGTAGTGAAGGTGAGTGTTAATGCATTCTAAAAGGGCCTTTTAAACCTACACCCGTGTCATAAGTCACGGGCGCTACTTGGGGTTTCCCTTGCGGTAGCCGGCTTCAAAGCCTCAGTCGTCCATCATACTTAGTGCTTCTTACAGTAATAAACTTTTAATATAATTAGACGCCGATGGTCGCGAGTTCGATCGCTTTGGTTTGTTAGGTTGCATTTTTTTCTGTTGGAACAGTCTTTTTATAGTGTTGATAATAATAATAACAATCTCAGGACAATTCACACAGCGCCATATAAACCCAAGTTAAGCTAGTTAAAGCTTGTGTTATAGGTACTAGACAACAGATATACATAGAAAACATCCAGACAGACACAAACAATAATACTCATGAATACAAATATTTGTGCCATGCGAGGTGTATCCCGAGAGAATCTGCAAAGGTAAAGCAAAGTAAGGAGTGCTAAACCGGTGCAGGACCACCGACGCCGTCACACACACACAAAATTATATACCAATAGTTTATACCTTAATTTATTATCCAATAACGCTTAAATAAGATGTTAAGCCTATAATTAAGAAACAAGTGAAGTTACTCACAAGCACAGTACACTTGGGTAGCATGGTGAACCCGTCGTTACCGCTGTATAGGTACTGCTTGATACCGAGTCGGTACTTCTGCTCGCGATGTAGGTATTCGTCACCAATTTTAACGACTTGTTCAGCGATGCGCCCGCCCGCCGGCTTGCTTGGATCGAAGGCGAATGATATGCCAGCCACCTGAAATGTTATCATCATTATGGGTGGCATCATGGATGTAACCACGGTGGGGCCGGATGGGGCACTTGCCCCACCCTGGCTTTGACCTGTAAGGTTTAGATTTAGGTACCCAACCTAAAAAAATAAATTATATTAGTACTATTATAACTACGATACTTAATATCCGTAAGAGAGAGCAAGGGGATTGTTAGTAATTTGGAATAGAATAGAATAGAAAATCATTTATTCAAATAAACTCAATTTAAGCACTTTTGAATAGTCAACATTTTTTTTAAATCTACCGCTTATTCGGAAAGCTGTCTCATCACAAGAAGAATAAGCAAGAAACTTGTGTGTTGCTCGTTTAAACAAGTAGTTCACATTTTACAAAGACGTGTGAATACCAACTACCAACCAGCACTAATTTATTTAGGCTCAAATATAAAAACACAATAAGATTAAATCAGTCTAGTGATAAGAGCAGACCAGTCCCTACAAGCAGCACTCGTTCACGAGTATGACGGATGAGCCAGCCATCACTGCGCTCGACCATATTTTATGCAAGCCCAATGACCCGGCCCACCACGCCGCCACATGTCTGGACATTTTAGTGAACATGACTACTCATTCCACTCGCCCACGTCGCAGCTACAATAATTACTATATGGTAGTTACAGTATTCGCACTTTACATGAGGATGCATGCGGCAATCAATACAAAAGCCGCTACGCTATCATATATCAAGAAAGCAGTATGAAAAATAAATTATAACGTTGTCCGCAAATAAACTTATACTATATATTGCTATCATCTATAAATTCATCTATCCTATAATAGGCTTTTTTACATAACATTTGTTTAATATAAAATTTGAATTGCCTCTCTGTCAATGTCAATGTCCTAGGTCAGGTTGACCTCCACGTGCCCCGCTAGCGTATACCATTAACGCAGGCGGGTATACAATTCCATTATTATTTTGTAAAAAGAAATAAGAATAGAACAGAATAGAAAATCATTAATATAAACTTAATTTAAGCACTTTTGTAGAGAGTGGAAGGGAATTGTTAGTAAAGTAGACTCATAACTCCATTAGAGAGAGAGACAGCAATGTCCCATGTCAGGTTGACCTCCACGCGGTTCCTCCTGGAAACCATCGTGATAAATTACTGGTGAATTTGTCAGGATGGGCTAAATAACCTGACTTCATGTTCATCTTATCATCGTCCACTGGTGCCCCGCTAGCGTATACCGTTATCGCAGGGGGTATACCATTCCATTATCATCTATAAAAAAAATATCCATAGGAAAGTTTATACTCTACACTGAAGTGTAAAAACTGGAAGAAAGGCGGTGTCCTAAGCTGCTAGTCCACTAAAGGCGTCAAAACCGTCTGTTCGAATAGTTTATGGAATTCCAGAATCTGGGATGGGCATAATCAAAGAAATCCTTGGATAATATACACAAACACACTTGAGGAAACCTGCCCTCCAAACTGGGGTACTTGCTGACGGCATTCTCCAGCATCTGAAGGATGACAGCACCACTCGCTTCCACCACCACCAGGGGATCCCTCATTGGTATTATTGTGGACAGGTCCCGAAGAGTGAAGTCTCCAGCTGGGTGGACCTGATATAAAAAAATACATTTAACAATAGTATCGTGTTTAATATACATTACTTATATTATTAACCGGGTCTTAACACGAATTAGTTTATGGTAAATAATGATATTTACCTCTTTCGACGTTTCGACTAGGTAAATACCTTAATTTATCCTAAAATTATTTGTTTTATGACCCGGTAAAAATTTATTTGATTTTTTCTTTTTCTTCCGGTCTACTCTAACGCTGTTAGCTGCAGCTGGCCTTTACAGCATCACCGGACGATAGGGAGCGAGTACAGATGGCACTCCAAAGTAAAAATCCAAAATAATTAAATCCCAAGGAGTAATTAAAAATATTGACCTTACCTGATCAGACCTGAAGGTTCCGGAGTTGAGGAGCACCAAGTCAGCACCAGTGGCAGCCAGCAGGACATCGCACACCCAGTTCCCAAGGTTGCACTCCTGGCGGCGAATGCATGAAAACCGACCTTCGAGGGGCACGCAGAACTTGCCCAGAATCTCGTCCATTTTGCCTTCAATCATTGCTGTTGAAATTGAAACTTTAAGTTAGAGGGTAGATGTATGGATTTTAATTAATTCAAAACAGCTAAATGACCTTATTGATAGCAGAAATAATATCTTAGGAAAATTCACACAGCCAGGGCTTGTTAGACGAGGACAGGGCTTGTTAGACGAGGACAGGGCTTGTTAGACGAGGACAGGGCTTGTTAGACGAGGACAGGGCTTGTTAGACGAGGACAGTGCTTGTTAGACGAGGACAGGGCTTGTTAGACGAGGCAATTATACTCATAAATACAAAGGTATGTACTGTGCGAGTAATCGAATCCGCGACCATTGGAAGTAAAGTGGTGTGCTAACTGTTTATATTTACAATATAAATTATCTAAGTGTATATCAGTTGTCTAGTACCCATAATAAGCTCTGCTTAGCTTGGGACTAGATGGCGCTGTGTTTAATTATTGTCAAGGGCTATAATTATTATTATATTTAATTGATTTAATTGTACATACCAGAATATTTCTCAACCTTCGACTTCAACACCTGGTCTTCAGCATAGGAGCTGGTGACGTGAACATCCGCGATATCCACTCGAGTGCAGTCGGGCGCGAAGTTTATACTGATTTTGGAGAACTGACGGAAATCTGTACCGCTTTTTACTATATATTTATTATTTACCTGGAATTTAAATTAAATAATCGTATGATTTTTTTTTATTGAATTAGGTTTTATTTTGCGAGTACCGTTACTATTTGATTCTGCACCAGTGTTTCCCAAACTTTTTAGTGCCTTGCTCCACCTTGACCGATGAAAAAATCCGATATTTTAAAAAGATATTAAAAAAAAGGTAATGTGTGTTTAGTACTAATCAAGTACCCAATGTAAAGATTATTACAAATATTGTAAATAGTGCCATCTAGTATTTATAGGCCGAACTAAGTTGTTTATTATAAGATAACCTTATCATAGTATAGCCGTTACCCCCGCTTCTACCCTACTACACTGATTTCGGTCTATAAATACGGAGCTCCACTGGTGCCCCGCCAGCGTAAACCGTTAGCGCAGGCGGGTGCATTCCACTAACATCCGTAAAATAAAAATATAGCAATAGATTTGGCTAATTTCAGTTTTGAAATTTTTGTAGACTTCCAAAGAAAATATGAAGAAATTGAAGAAAATCTATATAAATACGTTTTTTTTTCTTTTTTTTGTATTTATTTCTTTTTATGTAATGTGGGGCGTGGGGCCCACATTGGGAAACACTGGTCTATATAGAATTTTCACTTCAAAAATCTTAATAAAGACTTACTTCTAGTACTTCATATACGTGGTCGTGGCCACCCAATATAAGGTCAATTTCCGTGCATCCTTCAGCTAATTTAACATCATTTGGTGTTCTCATATGCGTCAAAGCTATGACGTATTCACAACCCTGAAATATAAATAAAATCATAGTTGAAAATTAAAATATCTTTATTCATGGACTGCCTCAGTGGTTTACCACCGAATGAATATGTCTAAACGTTTAATTATTTATTTACTAGCTGCTCCCGCGACTTCGTCCGCGTGGACGTGAAAGATCTATATACATAAATAATATTTATATAGATCTTTATACATGGATGTAAAGGGAGGGGACGCCCTAAGAAAAGATGGATGGATTGTGTGAAAGATGATATGAATAAAAGAAGAGTATGTTCAGATATGACGACCGATAGAGAGCAGTTGTGTGAAGAGAATGACGTGTGTGTTTAGTCGGCGATAGAGAGCAGTGGAAGAGAATGACATACTGCGCCGACCACAAATAATGGGATAAAGGCAAGGCAATGATGATGATGATGAAAGATCTTTATACATATTTTTTATATACTGTAATAAAAATAGGACTGTATCATTTTGAATAAAACTGTAAGCAATAAGTTTTATGGTGGATGGCAGTCCTTTAACAAACTATATTTTTTTAATATAGACTATCATCAAATGGCACAACTATGGCAAGTTAAGTATATATTTATAAAATAAAAGTAGCCTAAGTTACTCCCTATTACATCAGCTACCTGCCAAAAAAAGTCCCGTCTAAATCGATCTAGCCATTTCAGAGATTAGCCAGAACAAACAGACAGACAAAAATTGTAAAAAATGTTATTTTTTTGCATGTACCGTATTTATATTCATATGCATGTAGTAAAAAACGGTTATTTCAATGTTACAAACAGACACTCCAATTTTATTTATATGTATAGATTAGCATACAAAACAGATTACAATCAATAGAATAATATAATTAGGATCGTGTAGTTCGGTACAAAACTGGATTGTAATCCAACACTACAGCTTATACTACAGTTTACTACAGCTAGTACTATAATGCTAGCTACTCGCTCCGGCTTCGCCCAGGTGTACATGTATTATACATATAAACCTTCCTCTTGAATCACTCTATCTATTAAAAAACAGCTTCAAAATCCGTTGCGTAGTTTTAAAGATTTAAGCATACATAGGAACGGATAGGCAGGGACAGCGATTTTGTTTTATACTATGTAATGTTGTCTTGCCATTAAATTGAAGTACTAATATCACTGTAAAAGAACAGGGGTTGATCGTAAAAGGGTGAAAATTTAAAAAAAGAGGTAAGTTCGATGTTAAATCACAATAAAATATTTTTATTTGGTCAAAACAATATTTAGTGTTGGGTCACCCCTATCATTGGGGTAAGTGGGTAGGGGTATGAAAAATAGATGTTGGCCGATTCTCAGACCTACTGAATATGCATATAAAATGTCATAAAAATCGGTCTATCCGTTGCGGAGGAGTATTGTAACTAATATTGTGATACGAGAATTTTATATATTAGACTAGCTGATCCGGCAAATGTTGTTCTGCCATATACATTATAATCGGTATTAAAAAATAGGGGTTGGTGATACAAGGGTGAAAATTAACGGTAAACATAAACTATTGTGGATATATTAATAAAAAAAATTTTGGGTGAGCCACTCAACACTTAGGGGTATAAAAATTTGTTACAAACCTATTCTCAGACCTACTGAATATACATACAAAATATCATAAAAGTCGGTCAATCCGGTTCGGAGGGGTATTGTAACTAATATTGTGACGCGAGAATTGTATGTATAAAATATATATATGTAGGATTTGAAACTTGGCGGTATGAACGAATGGGAACGAATGAGTATGAATGAATGGAAACAGAGGAGCAAATGGATAGAAACGAAAGAGTGAATGGATGGAGAAAGGAATGAATGAAAGAAGAGGATGGGCATCGCTCTCTTCCTCGTAGAATGCCATATAGTTAGGTCGTTTCATGTGTAGTAAATGTTTTCTTTTATAATTTAAATAAAAGGAGTTCTATAAAATAACCATCCTGTTATTCGCGAATCCTTATTCCCACATATATATAAGGATTGAGTATGGTATACGAGAATTTTATATACTAGGAAGAAATACATGTAGATCATTTACCTCTTGTTTTAACTGCGAAGCTAGTTTCGTGCCTGCTTGTAAGAAGTCTATGAATGTGACTTCCTCTGGGTTTATTGTTGCTAAGGTGTCTAGCCACTCCTGGAACAATCAGCAATATTATATTAGACATATATCGACCTCTACTGAACTTCCATTCTAAATTAGGTTTCCCATTAATACTAAAAATACTTGTTGCAAGTTTGTCTTTAAATCTAGTATTAATATTATTATATATAACGAATATGGCTAATTTTTGGAAAGTCTAAGTTATAGCACAAATAAATACAATCGATTCCCCGTTCGGAGGACGCAGCGTGGGAAGGCCTCCAGCAAGATGGACCGACGATCTGGTCAAGATCGCTGGAAGGCATTGGATGCGAGCAGCGCAGGACCGATCGTCATGGAGATCTTTGGGGGAGGCCTATGTCCAGCAGTGGACGTCTTCCGGGATGCGATGATGATGATTCCCCGTTCAATTCAAACGGAGATCGAAATTACGACGGCCTGAGCTGAGGTTCGAATCCCTAGCGGTGCCCTCAGACTAAACTCGTATCCGTCAGGCGGGTGGCCTTCAGCCGCTCCATAAGTCCTTCCTTTGGTTTGTAGTGCCATCTGCACTCGCCCCTATCGTCCGGTGAAGCTGTAAACGTCAGCTGCGGCCAACAGCATTAGAGTAGTCCGAAAAAATCACATCCGGTAGGAAGACGTCAATATAGACTGACCTGTTCTACAAGCCCTATTAGTCCTATTTTATGCCCGTTGCATTCCAGTGCATGCGTGATCTTGCCATCGCCGAGTGGCCGGCCTATCTCGTTGCCTAGGGGATCGAAATTACGAAGGCCTGATCCGAGGTTCAAACCCCTGCAGGTGCTCTCAGACTAAAGTCGTATCCGTCAGGCCTTGGTTTGTAGTGCCATCTGCACTCGCACTCTATCGTCCGGTGAAGCTGTAAACGTCAGCTGCGGCCAACAGCATTAGAGTAGTCCGAAAGAAAGGCGGCCTGGTCAGCCGTCGTCGTATACTACGAGTCGGTGATGACCAGGAAGGAGACGCAGAGAGGCTGCGAAATTGCTGCCTCAGCCGACCCAATGCGGCAAAGACGAGCTACTCGTCTAGCTCGTATCGATCTCTCTCTCGAAGGGATCTTGTTCCCCTCCCTCCGCAAGAGCCAAGGGCGGCAACCGAGGACGGATTCATATCCAATAGTAGGACGTTAATATAGACTGACCTGTTCTACAAGCCCTATTAATCCTATTTTATGCCCGTTGCATTCCAGTGCATGCGTGATCTTGCCATCGCCGAGTGGGCGGCCTGTCTCGTTGTCTATTACATTCGACATCAGCCACGGGAAGTTGCATTGTGATACTAGACCTGATAGTACTTCTAAACCAAAGTCTGTAAAGAAAAAATAAAGATAATAGCATTTTTTTGTATACAACATTCATAATTCTATGGCCTCGGTAGTCCAGCAGTTTAGCACACCGCTTTACTGGAATGAACTGAATTTAAATAAACTCAACCATAAAACTGTGATGTGCACTTGTTGAGAAAACTCTTTTGATATTAATATATTTAAAGTTTTCTTGTATTGTATAATCAAAAATATAAAAACAAAATTATATAATTGACTTCACTCACTACCAACTTACCATTAAATACATTTTTCCAGTCATAAATAGTTTTACTACATATATCTACAAGAGCACTGTTGCTTTCTCGCCGTTTTACCTTTTTTTTAAATCGGCGCTTTGCCTACTGGCTAGATCCGCGTGGCGGTCAGTTCAAAATTTGTTTTAAAATAGCAAATAGTTCGTGTGGGGCTTTAAGCTCACATTTCGTGATAATGCTGTTGATTGATTGATGAGGGGCTTTTGCTAAATAAAACCGCCTTGGTTGGATGCTACTCGAACACTGATTTTTATTACTAAAAGAAATATAATGAGGTGAAATGTATTGAGGTGAAATGTATTGAGGTGAGATGTATTGAGGTGAGATGTAATGAGGTGAGATGTATTGAGGTGAAATTGCATGTGTAGGCAATTGTGTATTGCACAGTAAGCAGGCATGTGCGGTTGCCCGTACAGTTTGGTTATGGAATGTAACTTGACGGCTGCGGTGGTCTAGCGGTTTAAGGCGACGCATTGCAAATATTGACCTCAGATACCTTAACTTTTCTCAGCAATTACAAATCATTCGGGGCTGATATTTAGGTATTTCATTTTTCAGATCTTTGACATCATATTGACAGTTCTCGTTACATGATTGATTAACTTTTGTAGCAGAGAAAAAAATCTCAAAGATTGGTCTTATAAAATATATGTTTAATTCGTATAAGAAAACGGGACTGATTTAAGACTCGAATTTTCCAATATACACTATACTAAATACCCACATAAATAGTACAATTCAGATGTATATAATAACCAATAGTTTTTATTTTAAACAAGATAAACTGTTTTTCCGCATAAAAATCTCTTGCTCACAAGTTGTTTTGTATGAGAGTTAGAGCAAGTCAGTCAGTCCCCGGCCCCTGCCAACGTCGGACCTGTGCTTAGCGCGGAGAGCTCGCCTGAGAACGCGCGCTATCAAATCGTAAATTATTTCGTCATACACCCGCACCATATTATAGCGTACGCTATAGTATGGTGCGGGTGACAGTTACTAATTTTACATTTAACAATTACTGTATTTAAGTTAATACAGTTAGTAATGATTTATTGTACATATTACGAATGTAATACTAAGTCATAATTTGTAAAGTAGTGACAATTAATTGTTAAAAATGATAAAAAACTTTTAGTATTAATGTAAAGAAATGGTTAAGAAAATATAAACAAATTTTACATTATTTTGATTTCGTAGTTATTTATAAATAAAAATAGGGCACTCCCATTATCTATACATATAAATAAAATTAGAGTGTTTGTTGGTAATATTGAAATAACCGTTTTTTACTACATGCATACAAATATAAATACGTTACATACACCAAAATAACATTTTTTACCAATTTTGTCTGTCTGTCTGTCTGTTTGTTCCGGCTAATCTCTGAAATGGTTGCACTGATTTTGACGGGACTTTTTTTGGCATCTGGCTAAAATAAATAGTCTTGTACGCCGTTTGGTAGGCTTTTACATTATTTTATTGTAAAACTAATTTTATTTTTTATTTCTTAACTCAAGACGTTTTGTTTTGCTTAGATGTTTTTTTTATTTCGTTAGTTGCTGAAGTAACAGGTACAGGTAAATAATACTTATTTATGCAATTACCTTTCATTAGACGTTAAGAAGAATTTTAAAATGTTGATAACTGTTTATCTAGAACAGGGGTGAGCAACCTTTTTTATCAACGGGCCAATTTAAATTTTAAATATTTTGACGGATCGCACCTAAAGTAACACTTATTAATAATAATTAACAAAATTATTTGTAATGTAATGTAATTTATTTGTAATAAATATTTACATGATATTGAGACACAAAACCCTCAATAATGTGGGGTATCCGGCCTTTTTACCAATATGTCCCGCCAAACTGGATGGTCTGTCCGGTTATTAGGATTGGCGAAGTGACAACCCTACACTCAAAGAAAAAATCGACTGACTCATTATAACAAAGTAAAATCGTGGAGTCGTCTATGAATTTATACAAAAATTAAATATTGCTGTAACTTAATTCTTTTACTATTTCAAGTAATGTAATCATTTAGTTACCCTTTTTACATTTTTTTACACTATTTTATTTACTTATACGAATAAATGTTATACGTACTAATACTAATAATATATAATATTGAATTCAAAATAAAGTATTTTTTTCTCAATGTTACTACATATTTAGTGTAATCAAAAAACTTATTGATTGTCAATAATTTCACAAAAATATTATTTAATTAATCATTGTTGTCTGTCCGACTATATGTTGGAGTATCACATAAAAAATTGTGACATATTTTCAACTTTATTTTCCCCGATAAGTACTTTTTATCTGTAGTAAGTCTAGGTAAGCACTTGTCTTTGTAGCTATGGAAAGCAAAACAAAGTAATGGTGAAATATTTGGCTTCGATTGTACTATACAAGCTGTCCCAGAACTCAATTTCAAGCTGTGAGAGAATTGATTGTAACCATCATGAGAAAAATCAGAAAAAAATCTATTCCATGCAGTTTGAAAATTAGGGGCATTAAAGAAAAACTTAGAAATTTGGTCAAACTATAACCATTATTCGGTCATTGTGCTTAATTTTTATTATTTTTGTTCATTTAAACTTTGGAACCATAAAGCCAAATAACATTTCTAGAATCACAGTAAAAAATAATGACACAATTGCCCCAAGTTTTCTAGAATTAAGACTATTTGTTAAACTACATTTAAAATTTTCATAAATTGTCGAGTTTGAAAGGCCCTCTTTTAAAAAAATGTACTAAAGTGCCTTGGCAAGTGCCATTAAAAGTTCGGACATTTAATCAGGATTGTAAATATACAATACTGGTTAGTTTCATACTAAAAAAAAACGAGAAAAAAACCTCAAGTAACCCGATTTTTGCTAACCCATTTTACTCCGTTCAAATGTTTCTTATTCACACAAGCTTATAGTAGTAGGTTCTTAATTTTACGGCAAAATAATAAGAGAAATGGGTAGTGGACATGTTGTCGTGAGCGAGCGAGACAGATGTGCCACCCAGTGAGACGGAGATGCGTCGTTTAAACGCGCGCGAATGAAACAGATACAGTCGCCATACCAAGCAAATGGCTACGCTACCAGTCTGACACCAGTTAGTACATTTTGCTCATTCTGTTTCAGCTTCAGCTCAGCCTACTGCGCGTCTTTCCGTATTCGCTGTTGTTGGCTTCTATTTTGGACTTGGATTTTTGTGAATTGAACTTGTTGATTCCATACCGAAAACTTTGGGTTGTCTCTTTTGGAATTGGACTTTTGTGTTGGTATCCTTGTTATTTACTTCACAAAAAATTGCGAACAAGCACCTCATTTATGAGGAATGCAGATGCAATGCAATTGCTGCCGCTAGGCTTTATCGTGAAAGATATCCAAATTTAGAGCGCTATCCAGATCACTGCTAATATGTACCGGCCGCACTCACAGAGGGCGGCCATTTCCCGAATCAAATACGGGCTGGAGGTAGAACTCGCTTTCCTTATTAGGAAGAAGTGTTGCAAAAGGTCGCAGATGACCAAAGTATTTTCGTTTGTACACAAACGAAAATACTTTTCTCCTTTTTTCTTTTTTTTTTCTTTTTCCCGTTCTTTCTTATTGTAATAGCACAGCACATCGTATTTTACAAAGACCCGAAATGCATCCGTTTCACGTACAACGAGTTCAAACTTTTCTTCCTCAATATTATCCTTATTTAAATAAACCTAAACTAGGTTAAGATTTTTCTTTATTTTAATTATTTTACTTACTTTTGTTGACTTTGATAAAAGTGGCGTCATATCTGTCTCGCTCACTCATGGCAAACATGTCCACTATCCATCTCCCTTATTGTTTTGCCGTAAAATTAAGATTCCTTGGTAGGTCCAAGGAAATAAATAAATAAAAAAGTGAAATAATGAAAAGTATTATATAAATTTATTAAAACGTATGTATTAATACGTGAAGTAATAACTTTGTATCCTTTTTACGAAAAACAGCGCGGACAGATGAATATGAAATTTCGTGTACTTATAGTTTATATAGAGAAGGTTTGCAGAATAGTCATATTTTTTTATTTAAATTATGCATAAAAATATGAATAATCATGTTCAAACCTATAATTATTCAATAATTTCATTTGTATGAAGTTAATAGATCTTTTATGATTAGGTTGTAATTGTTCACGTCCTTTTTACATGTAATTAAAACTTAATATTTATTATAATAATTTATAAATTACTGTAAAAGTTTTACTATTTTGTCATAAAATGTATATCTTTACGTACTTTACTTACATATAATGTTAAATTACTTACGCATTTTTAAAAGTATACTTTCTAAAACATAAAGAAATAATGTCCACTGCGCGTATCAAATAAATAAAATTAAAGTCACATACATTATTACTAAATTTAGGTTTATTGTATCAAATATATAATATATATAGATTTTTTATTTGATATACCTGTCATTCACAGAAACGCAGACTTGCTGTCTCTTTTATAAAGTAACTAACCTTCGTATATTTTCACATTTCATTTAACGTAAGTACGTTAATGTAGTATACATTAAAATATCTAGCTGTTTCAAAAAAATGTCGTTGGCAAATAAATAAACGTCGTAATTACCAATTACAATATATACGAAAAACACAAAGATTATTTTTTTGGTGTTTCTTTCAAAGATAGTAATAAAAGCACTAGTTTACGTTAATTATAATCACGGGAATATGTAACTCTACCTCAATATTTCTATTTAATTCTTTACTTTAAGAATCTTTATAATTAATTCGTATCGTAGTTAGTTCCACTGTATTGTAAATTCTAAAATATCAATGTGCCTTCATAAATATAAATTATATAAACAAACAGGAAGTCTCCGTAATAGTTTTGTTCAATTGGGGACCGAAGCTTCGTCTACTTGATTCACGCGTTACATTGCGACACGGACGCGTGTTCGTGATATCGTGGTACGGGGAGAGCGAGCGAGCGCTGGCGGTCGATCGGCGACACGTAAAACTATCGGGGTGCATGAGGTGCGCAGACCGCGGGGCCCGATTTTGAAGTAATAGTTTATCACGGCGTCGCCTTAAGACACCGCTTTACTTCAAATGGTCGCGGGTTTCCTCGCACGGTGTAAATATTTGTATTCATGAGTATGAATGTTTATATCGATCTTGGTGTTTGCTACATATAATACGTATGTATTTACAAAAAAATATATGTGAGTATTTATATCAGTTGTCTAGTATCCATAACACAAGCTCTGCTTACCATGGGACTAGATGGCTGTGTTATGCAAGGTTATTTATTTATTTATAATTAAAATAATTTATTTATATAATACATTTAATATATTATTTTATTTAATTCCGCTATAATTATCATGTGTGAGACCACAAATATTCAGTGCGAAAACTTGACTACCGTTACGACCTTCTCTAATGGTGATCAAATTCCGACTGTTATTGAGTCTACATTCATATTGCGACACGTGCTTCGCTTCTGAACGAGGCATCATCAGACATTGAATCAAATTCAAACTCAAAACATCTTTATTCATGTAGGTCTATAACATTTGTACACAATAGGTGCTACAGACAGTCCCCTATGCCGGGGCTGCTTTGTAGCCGAGGAAACGGCCGCTCACGTAATCCTGGAGTGCGAAGCAGTGACCACACAACGAAATCAAATCCTCGGAACGGTGAGGTCGCTCCGAGAAGCCTGCGAAGACACCAGGAGACTTCTGCGCTTCTGGGAGGAGCTTGGCTGGCTACGCTAGTAGCCTGGCTCTACACGCACAACGGCCCGAATGAGAGGCTAATTGCGGAAAATGGAGTCCAACCGACATTGACATTGACATTGTAGGTCTATTACAGACTCTTATAAAATGTCAAATATACCGTCAGTTCGCAGTGGTTTCGAGAAGAACTCGGCTTTTTTTTTTTTATTATTGTGATAATGATTCATTTAAATTCAAATTAGAGAGAATAGAGTGACCACCAGCATATGCTATTACAAAAAACAAAAAATCTAATCAGTGTTTGCAACCTGAACAGACCAGTCCCCACAATACGAATAGATTTCGGATATAGCTTAGAAGCCTAGTGTTGGCTGTTTGGCGTCCAAACAATAGACTCGTCGAATAGCCAGTAGTAGTGGAATTAAACAAAATAATATAAATTCAGTAAGTAGTGAAATGGAATTATACTAAATAACACTTATCAATCAATCAATTAAATATAATATTAATTATAATAAAAAGGATTTATTTAAATAAACTTACCAAAGTCGTGATTGCCAAACACCGCGCAATGTGTACCGATTTCGTTCAATACCGGTACCATTTGTTCTCCTTTTGTGAAAGTACTCACTGCAAATGCAATAGAAATAGAAATAGAAATAATCTTTATTCAAATAAACTCATTACAAGCACTTTTGAATAGTCATATTTTGATTCTACCACTCATTCGGAATGCAGATTCATCACAAGTTATTTAAGATATTATTTAAGAGTCTTAAATGAGATGAAATAATTACTTTTTAGTTATAAAATTCGGTCCAGCTTTTTCTAGACATTAGACGGAACAAACAGACAGACAGTTTTTTTTCCGACTACTCTAATGCCGTAGCTGGCCTTTACAGCTTCACCGGACGTTAGGGGCGAGTGCAGATGGCACTCCAAACCCGCGGAAGGACTTATGGAGCGGCTGAAGGCCAACTCCTGCCCGACGGATACGACTTTAGTCTGAGGGCACCACTAGGGGTTCAAACCTCGGCTCAGGCCGTCGTAATTTCGATCCCCGTTTGAATTGGACGGGGGATCGATCGGAAGGGCAGAGAGACAGATAAAAATTATAAAAAATGTTATTCTGGTGTATGTACCGTATTTATATTCATATGCATGTAGTAAAAAACGGTTATTTCAATATTACAGACTCTAATCATCATCTAGACTCCACCACCCCCCACGTCATCCAAAATAAGCAACCCCCCCCCATAAAGCTTACGTAATACTTGAACGGCCACTAAACTAAATAGGGAATAGCCAGTATTCTTTATATACATACACAGAGGGGAAGGGGGATTGTTAGTAATGGGAACTGGTAACCCACATTGTCAGCAATGTACTACGTTAGGTCGACGTCCACGTGGTTCTTCCTGGAAACCTCATAATAAATTCTTAGTGAATTTCTCATGATGGGCTGACTGAACTGACCTCATTCTTATATTATCATACACTGGTGCCCCGCCAGCGTAGAATTTCTCACGATGGGCTGACTGACCTGACCTCATCATCATATTACCACTGGTGCCCCGCCAGCGTAAACCGTTAGCGCAGGCGGGTGCACCATTTCATAATAATCCACAAAATAAATATACATACACATGCTCGGCGAGAAGACATCCCCGCTGAATAGAATTAAAGGATTCAGATGCTGTAAACTCTTCACGGCCGTCGAGAACCTTAGCGCACCACCGACGGGTTCCGTATCTAGAAAATAAATAATTAAAACTTATTACAAAATTTAGAAATAGATATAATCTTTATTCAAATAAACTCAATACAAGCACTTTTGAATAGTCACACACCCAACATCACAAGAAGAATGTGCAAGAAACTTGTGTGTTGCTTTTTTAATATATGTTATTTTAAATAAATAAATACTCAGTAACAAGTAAAAAGTATGCAATAATTAACATAGAAATCGCTACGCACTCATTATTAGTGTAATCAAATAATATTGTCAGCGCTATGAATTTTAAATTTTTCTACAAAAACACTATTTTCGTTAACGAACTCTTCAATTTTATGGTATGATTTTTTACAAAGGAAGTGTTTTATATGACATTTAAATCTTTTTTCTGGCAGATTTATAACAGACTCTGGTATTTTATTGTAAAACCTTACGCAATTGCCATAAAACGAATTACTAACTTTAGTTAAACGACATTTAGGTAAAATCAGTTTGTTATTGTTACGTAAGCTTTTATTAGTGCAATCACTAACTCTTTTGAAATTGTCTATATTATCTGAGAATTTAAGAATTCACTTGCAGCATGCTATTTACATAATAATAATAATAATCTCAGGACAATTCACACAGCGCCATCTAGACCCAAGTTAAGCTAGCTAAAGCTTGTGTTATGGGTATTAGATAACTGATACAAATACATATATATTTTTTTAATAAATACATATTATACATAGAAAACACCCAGACCGATACAAACAATCATACTCATGAATACAAATGTTTGTGCCGTGCGAGGAATCGAACCCGCGACCATCGGTCGTAAAGCGGTGTGCTATACCGCTAGACCACCGAGGTCGTCAGAATCAAATTACATAGAAAACATTCCACACGAGGATTGTCTCCTGAGAAAGAAAAAAGTTATAGGTAACATCGGACATTTCACACAGCGCCATCTAGTCATAAGCTCAGCACTTACTTGTGGTTTGTTCGATGTTGTAGACATCGTTGTAATGAATAATAACGACCTCGTTGGCCATACCACGACCGGACAACTGGTTGACAGCGCGCCGACCCACCTGACGGACCTCTAATGATGCCTGCAAATAGAAAAAATATATTTAACACACTTACTCATAAATTGTATCTAAATTCCTGGTTTTCAAGACAAAGCAGGTATTACAACACGCGTGCGTTATGAACGCAAGTAGTGGAGTTATAATAATCTATACATATAAATAAAATTGGAGTATCTGTTTGTAATATTGAAATAGCCGTTTGCATATGACTGCATATGAATATAAATACGGTCCATACACCAAAATAACACTTTACAATTTTCGTATGTCTGTTTGTTCTGGATACTCTCTGAAATGGTTGGACCGATTTTGGCGAGACATTTATTGGCAGGTAGCTGATGTAATAATGAGTAACTTAGACTACCTTTATTTTAGAAAAATAAAGTTAAATTCCACGTGAACATAGTCGCGGGTACAGCTAGTCTCATATATAATCTCAGGACAATTCACATAGCGGTATCTAGTCCCAAGTTAAGTTAGTTAAGCTAGTGAAAGCTTGTGTTACGGGTACTAGATAACTGATACAAATACATAGATGTTTTTTATTTTCGTAAATACATACATATTACATAGAAAACACCTAAACCGATACAAACAATTATATATACAAATGTTTGTGCCGCGCGAGGAATCGAACCCACGACCATCGGAATTAAAACGGTGTCTTAAACCGCTAGACCAACGAGGCCGTCAAGTTACATTCAGTAACCGAACTATTTGCTATTTTAAATCAAATTTCGAACTGACCGCCACTCGGATATAGCCTGTAAGCAGAGCGCTGATTAAAAAAAAGTAAAATGGCGGGAAAGCAATAGTGTGCATCACAGTTTTATGGTTGAATTTATTTAAAATCAAGTGTGTTAAAAAACGTCGTATGTTATACGTACGTATTTAACACACTCAGCTCTATTACGCTCTCGCCTTAGGTTCGATATGAAATTCTGCCTCGTGTGTTATAACTTTCATAACGCACATATATCTATTATCGAATTAGGTATTACTTTGCGGAAGTCCATTTCACTACTGAATGGATTTATGTTTTGTTTAATTCCGCTACAATTAGCAGGTGTGAGACCACAAATATTCAGTGCGGAAACTTGGCTACGTTGGCCGTTACGACCTTCTCTAATGGTGATCAAATTCCGACTGTTATTGAGTCTACACTCATATTGCAACACGTGTTTCGCCTCTGAACGAGGCATCATCATAAATTGAATAAAATTCGGATATAGCTTGGAAGCCTAGTGTTGACTGTTCGGTTCTGTCGCGGTTTGGTCGTCGAACAGGCTACACTAATGCTATATTTATATATAAGTACTATATTTATTAAAGTGTAGATATTAAAAGCAAAAATATAACTAATTTAAAACTAGCTTTTTTTTTTAAAGCTATACAGCGTGTTCTAAATATACAAGATGCAAATCAGGGTTGCCAACCGTAAAACGTGTTGTACGAATAAATAAAAAATATGAGAAAATCTTGTAGCTTAATATTGATGCTACAATTTATATTAATACTAGTTGACCCCGCAAACTATGTTTTGCCATATAAATTAAAACCACTATTAAAAAATAAGGGTGAAAATTTATGGTTGTATTTGTTAATGTAATATTTTCCAAAAATATTAATGAATGTTAGGGGTGGACAATCCTTATCACTCAGGGGTATCAAAAATAGATAGTAGCCGATTCTCAGACGTACTGAATATGCATATAAAATTTCATAAAAATCGGTGAAGCCGTTTCGGAGGAGTATGGTAACTAACATTGTGACACGAGAATTTCATACATAAAATATGTTAGTTTTTAAGGTATATATAATATTGGTCTTTAGAAGTCTGAAATCAAGAAAATTAGCTAAATTTGGGACTCTAAGATCGTACCAAAGATCTCGTATTTGTACAAAGTTTCGTACAATTTCGTATTCGTACGGTTGGCATCCTTGTTGCGAAGTGCGTGCCCGGGGGCAGGACTAGGGTGCGAAAACGTGACTAGAGTGACAAAGAACATCAGTACAATAACAAGACAATGTAAACATTTCATACAGGTACTTTGTCACAATGAAATTATTGGCAAATTCCAGTAATTTTTCATTAATACTAAAATCTTTGTATTGTGACATGGTACTAAAGTGTATAAATAAAAATACTTTTTGCTAGACAAAAACAAAGCTAATCGCATTACAATAAGGATCATTACATAAAAATAATTAAAAAATAAAGATATACTAAATTGTCTTCATACAGGTACTTTATCACAATGAAATTATTAGCTAATTCCAATAATTTTTCATTAGTACAAAATTTATTATATTGTGACAAGGTACTAAAGTGTATAATTAAAAAATATTTTTTGTTAGACAAGAATAAAGCTAATCACATTACAATAAGGATCATTACATAAAAATAAATTAAAATAATGACGATACACAGTCTTCATACAGGTACTTTGTCACAATGAAATTATTAGCAATTTCCAATAATTTTTCATTAATACTAAATTTTTTGTATTGTGACAAAGTACTAATGTGTATAATTAAAAATATTTTTTGTTATACAAGAATAAAGCTAATCACATTACGATAAGGATCAGAATAACACATTAAATTTTAACATATACTAAATGTTTTACACACAAATACACCAATAAACTTACAGTGAGAAATATTTTTTCAAATAGATGCAGTGGTTCTGTAGATTCTTCTCCCTATATGCACATACTAGTGATGTGCCGGATCGTTGCTAATTCATATCCGCGGATACGGATCAGAATACGCATATGAGACGTCCAAATCCGTGGATACGGATTTCCGGAACATCGCTAGTACACACACCGTAAGGAAGCCCGTGGATAGTTGTGACTATTTTTAGTTGAACTATCATATCTCAATAAACATACACACCACAATTATGAACCTTATGGGTCTATGTAGCTCAATTCTTGCACTTTTAAAAACGGTAATCAAAGTCAATAAAAATTATAAAGTTTCAGATAAAATCCACGAAAACTGAAACCCTTTCTTGCAACTCTTCTAACACCGAGGTAAGTTGCGACAGGGTCTAAGGTCCTGTCGGAGCTACGGACGAATGATCGTGCACACCTGTGGCTCCGGCAGTTTTCAAATCCCATCAAAAACATAAATGTGAAATGATAGCCAAGTTTAATATTGTGATATATGCCTTGATTGTTGACTTCTACGACAAAAGAGGTGAGATCTAAATGGGTGCCAAGTTCAATGGTCTGTCCTGAAATGTATTTCTAACAATATAAAATATCATTTCTTCTTATAACTTAGGATAATATACTGTAGCCTAAGGTCTAACTTGGCCAGTTCTCATATACCAATTATTACTTTCGATTGCTAGTTACTACTAATAATAAAATAGGAACCGACAAGTAACATGTTTAGAACTTGCGAAGGCTACAGTATAGTTCGTATATATCATATTTTTCCCTACCGTCCTAAGTCCTAGTGATCGGTAGAGGTACACCTTAGCCTTTAGCCTGTAGGAGTCCTGCAGTAACCCCCCAGACACCCCAGTATCAGGGTTTGTTTTGTGTTTGTAACAAATTCACACGGAATTCACGATGGTTTCCAGGGAGAACCGCCGTCAACCTGACATGGTACATTGCTAGCAATAAGATCATTAGACCGCGTCACTAACAATTCCTTTTCCCCCTCATGTCTGGAATGAGTAGTTAGTTTGTTTAAATTACGAGAGTTTTTGGTATATAACTGTTTACATATCATATTGTATTGGAATGGTCCAATACAATACAATATCTAACAGAACTGTCCAATAATTTGTAGCTATAACAAGGTCGAGAATGAGTAGTCATGCTCACTAAAATGTCCAGACATGTGACGGCGTAGTGGGTGATTGGGCTCAATGAAATATGGTCGAGTGCAGTGATGGCTGGCTCATCCGTCATACTCGTGAACGAGTGCTGCTTGTAGAGACTGGTCTGCTCTTATCACTACGACCGATTTAATCTTATTGTATATTTATATTTGACCCTAATAAATTAATGCTGGTTGGTAGTTTGTATTCACACGTTTCGACTTATAAATGTGAACTTGCAAGGATTATTTAAAAGATCAACACACAAGTTTCTTGCTCATTCTTCTTGTGTTGAGACAGCTTTCCGAATGAGCGATAGATAAAAATTGTTATGACTATTCAAAAGTGCTTAAATTAAGTTTATTTGAATAAATAATTTTCGCGCACGTGATACCACTGCTGTTTCAGGCATTCATACGCTACGGTAACCATTTACCATCAGATGGGCCGTATGCCTGATTGCCACCATCGTAGTATAAAAAAATGATTTTCTATTCTATTCTTGCCCCTCCTGGTCCATAATTGGTTATGTTCCACCACTTTATATAATACGTATGCGTCGAACGTAGGTAGGGTGATAGAAGGTCAATGTAATTTGCTGTCAACTCTACTCTGTACATACGTAATAACAACAGCATGTCTCCCTCAGACAATCGGGTATACAAGTGTTTTTATTTTTCTTTTATTTATAATCTTTATTACACCAATTAAAAAAAAAACAATTAAAATCTATACTATATAATATTACTAGCTACTCGCCCCGACTTCGCACGGGTGTACGGTTAATACGTTATACATATAAACCTTCCTCTTGAATCACTCTATCTATTAAAAAAACCGCTTCAAAATCCGTTGCGTAGTTTTAAAGATTTAAGCATATATAGGGACGGACAGACAGCGACAGCGACTTTGTTTCACACTATGTATTGATAAAGCTGAAGAGTTTGTTTGTTTGTTTGAACGCGCTAATCTTAGGAACTACTGGTTCGAATTGAAAAATTATTTTTGTGTTGGATAGTCCATTTGTCAAGGAAGGCTTTAAGGTATATAATTTTTTTTTTGATGGGACTTTTTGTTTGGTAGGTGATGTAATAAAGAGTAACTTAGTATACCTTTATTTTAGAAAAATAAAGTTATATAAAATGGTAGGGGTGCTAACATTTTTTTTTTCACATATTTTTTATATCACTATGAATTGACAATAAAAACTATATACAACCCTAAACTTTTACCTTTCCACCACTTATCCCTATTTTTTTATTTCGTTAGTACTTAAATTTATATGGCAAAGTAACGTTTGCCAGTACAGTTAGTACAATATAAGGATGGTGATCACCTAAACTGGGTATTACACCTGTGTTATAGGTATCAGTGCTCTCTTGTAACATCTATGAAATACGTAGATTTTTAAGGGTACGTGTGGTGTATGACTAGCTACTGCCCGCGACTTCACGTGACCGGAATAAATATTAGACCTATGTCCTTATCCGAATTTATAATTACAATACAATGATTGATTAAGTCGTAACGGTTTGAAATCGAAACAAAGGAGAATGTACTGCACGATTAAGAGAAGTATGTCCACTTATCTATACATCTATACATATAAATAAAATTGGAGTGTCTGTTTGTAACATTGAAATAACCGTTTTTTACTACATGCATATGAATATAAATACGGTACATACACCAAAATTACATTTTTTCCAATTTTTGTCTGTCTGTTCCGGCTAATCTCTGAAATAGCTGGACCGATTTTGATGTGATTTTTTTTGGCAGGTAGTTGATGTAATAAGGAGTAACTTAGGCTACTTTTGTTTTAGAAAAATAAAGTTAAATTCCACGCGAACTTCCTAATAGCTAATAAATCATAAACCAAACACTTTTCGCATCATCTGTAGTCTCAGCAGATTCCCTAAACCGTACAAATTGACAAGATTACTTCATTAGATTACACGTGGCCCTAATTTCCGGTCTCGCTGATAACGGTGACGTGTTATCAATGAATTCTAAATTTAACTCGTTCTTGAAGGTTAGTGGTCTATTTATAAGATCACGGGTTCGATTCCTCGCACGGTTTCTTATGGATGATAATGGAATGTCACTACTTGATGGATTTTCATTATTATTTTGTTTAATTCCGCTATAATTAGCAGGTGTGAGACCACAGATATTCAGTGCGGAAACCTGATTACCGTTACGACCTTCTCTAATGGTGATCAAATTCCGACCGTTATTGAGTCTACACTCATATTGCGACACGTGTTTCGCCTCTGAACGATGCATCATCAGGCATTGTATAGAGTTCGGATATAGCTTGGAAAAAGTAACTTTATCTGTCTGTCTGTCAGTATGACTTACACGCTAAAACTACTGAACCGATTTACTTTATTTTTTTTATTTTTTATTGATTACTGAACTGATGAAATTTGGTACACAGTTAGTCTAGACCCTGAGAAAGGACATAGGCTACTTTTGAATGTGATAGAAAGGTTATAAGAGGATGAAAGAGTTATGTATGGAAGTGTCGTCATTTTTGATGATGAAACGATGAAACTTTTTCATTTGGCTTTTATTGGGTTAGGTCATTAAATATTTTTTTCATTATTTGGTCAAGGTCACTATTTTACGCGGACGAAGTCGCGGGTACAGCTAGTATGGAATAAAATTATAATTATAAAATATGCGATTAGACGTAAATAGTATAAGCTAAATGTCAAGTAGAGATCTGCAAATAAATTTAGTATTTTCAATATTAAATGGATCACAATACTACACCCCTTATTTTTAGTATTAAATTGACTACGATACTGCGTAAGCTACGCAGGTTTTAATTATCAATTTTCATCTTTATGCCATTGGGAAAATGGTTCAATTTCATAAAAACATTGTAACTGACTTTCCACTTGCTATAACTTGATTGGTATAGAACTAACCTTATATATGGTAACACCTAACATAAATTTTATACAGCTTCTACAGAATACGACATCGAATCCTCAATTTTAATTCAATCTCTTCAACCAGCAAACATATATTAACCAATCAAATGAAATTAAACTAAAATAATAGCCAATCAGTTTCTATTAAATATCTTCTTAAAATCGTCATGATATCAAATGTAGAATTCAAGTTAAAACTGAGGATATAAACATACACGTAAGCAAAAAAATTAAGGTGCTTTATTACGTATTGAGAACATCACAAATTATTGAGTAGACTACATTAATGTCTAATTCCTATGTGTGTATCTAACGCTGCATAGCATGCTCCCATCAGATTTGGGTGGCCATGGAGAAAAACATGAGCGGTGAAGGTGAGTTGACATATGTCAACAAAGGGCCTACACCAGGGTCACAACTGCTGGGAATTCCTCGGAGTTTCCCAGTCTGCCTCGGCATCTGCATGAAACGCTAAGTTTGTCTCTGAACTACTTAATATTTATTACTTGAACAAGTAAATGGAGATATTCAGTAATGAAGAAAACCTGTCCTGAGCACCCAAAGTATTTGTGATGTTATCAAGTTGTGTGTTTCATAGATTTATGTAACAGACAATTACTTTAGATATTAATCTGTCGAATTTAGTTTAAACATTGATTTATGAAAAATCCAATGAAATTAAATATTTGTCGATGAAATATCCAATTAAATTACATATTCATCTATGAAACATCCAATTAAATTAGATATTCATCTATAAAACATTAATTTAGAATGATGTTTATCTATGAAACACCTAATTAAATTAGATAATCATCTATGAAAAATCCAATTAGTTTAGATATACATTTATAAAACATCCAATTAAATTATATATTCATCTATGAAACATCCAATTAATTTAGATATCCATTTACAAAACATCCATTGAGATTACATATTCATCTATGAAACATCCAATTAAATTACATATTAATCTACAAAACATCCAATTAAATTAGATATTCATCTATAAAAACCTAATTAGATTAGATATTCATACATGAAACTCCTAATTTAGTGAGTTGTGCGATGTGCCCTAATTCTCATGCGATTAAATATATCGTGCCTGTTTCAGCCATCCAACAACTGATCTGACGCCATCAGTGACTTCACCAGGCACGTCGACACTGGTGGACTCTATCAGGGAGCTCCATCTAGACCGGAGGGCCGCTTGCGCCGCGAACGACGCCATTACACGGACAGTCTTCACTAAAACCATTGTATTGCTGATGTGATTATGTCCTAATGCTTATAGTACGGTCATAAAATATTTTGACACATTTTACGTAATGTTCTGTCCTGATTCTATAAAACTTTCTATAATACGTAGTTGTAATTTTATTGACAGTCCATTGGTATGTAAAATTCTAAATAATACAGTGTTTGTCCATCAAGGTAAGATATCGATGGGAGATGCATTGAATGAATTCATAATAGCAATATAGCAAAATACAAAGCAATATTTTTTTTTTACTCAAAGGAGTCTAATTAGCTAATATTTATCAATAGTGATTTTTTATTTTGAATTTTCTACTTGACTAAAGTTATTAATAATCATTTTAAATAAATAAAGTAACAATAATACTTTGGTGCATAAATCAATTTTTTTTTTATATATTGATTGCTCCTTTGCCTTATTCATGTTAGAGATAATAAAAAAATAATTTGTATATAATATTTTTGCCACAGGTACATCCAATAATTAAATATGTGTGAGTTTTAAATAGATGTACTTATTTTTTTTATAAATACATTTTTAGTAGCTATGTAGTAAATTAATATATTTCACATGTTAATGTTTTTTTTTTATGAATAACACTTATAGGTCACAGCAAACACAGTACAAGGTCTTTTTACATTTTGTTCACTCACAAACACCACCAGACTTTATTCACTGTGCTATCAAAAAAGTATGTAGTCAACATTACTTAAAAGATTTCACTTTTTATTATTATAATTTAATTCATAATATTTTTTTTTAAACGAAATTTAGGGCTGCGCACTGCATCAAATTTGTTGAGGTCAAGGTGGCTTCTATATTTAAATTCGTATACATTGCGAATAAATTCAGATGTCATCTGGAAACTAGCGGAGTAGTTTCAATTAGTAGTATAACAAAACACTATGCTCTGCGTATTCCTTTCTCATTCCATTGAGTTTATATATTTTACTGCAGTCCAATTTAATTTTAATAAAATTTAATACTTACCTAACAGAGTGGTAGGTTCCTGAATGGAACGATTTGTTTCTTTACTGTTGACGAACACTTCTTATTTAAACGACTTTGTGTTATAATAACAAAGAAATCTTATTTAATGTATTTCGATTTATATGGATGGATTTTCTTGTTTGCATTGAATTGAACGAATAAATGTAAACCGCAAACGGAATATATACAACTGGCTGTCAGTGTCAGTTCCGGTTTGTCTTTGTCAAATTCGATCGGCTGTCAATCGAGCTGTCACATTTAAGGGAACGCAATTTGTGTTCCGTTTTACGTATCGTAAGCGAGAAATCTTATATTCCGTATAATGTACAAAGCCGCTTATGTATAAAGTAATATTATGTATAAAGTATTTTAAGTTTAAGTTACGGTATAATCTCTTCTCTAACATACAATATGAATGAACAGTCTCTTTTGACTCAGAAGCGTGTGTACTCCATTAATAGGAATCGATATAATGTAGATAGCTCTAACTATATATTTATTTAGATGCAACTTGTATTTATAGAATTTCTCTAAATACAATACTGATATGCAATTAAAACATGATTCTCCTCATATAGATCGTAAATAAACATATAAATAAAACTTTGTTTTTGTAGTACTCCCCATATCTATCATTCAAATTCAAATTTGTACCTACTACAAAACAAAAATACAAATGTAAGTCATTAAATTATAGTTGAAATTTTATTTGCTTTTATATTTTACTGTCATTAACTAATATTAAAATAATTTTTTATTGGTTTTTAAAGGTAACTGTATTTGGTTTTAAAGTAAAATTTATATAAAAATATAGGTACAAATAGTAAATAGGGTAAATAGACTAGCCTCTAAGATAGGTTAATCTATAACCTGTGTTTATGAGTGTTAACCTCGGCTCCCATGGTAAAAATGCAACATATATTTGTGTATTAGAATAGAATAGAAAATCATTTATTGAAGTAAACTTAATTTAAGCACTTTTGAATAATCATAACAATGTTTTTTTTAATCTACCGCTCATACGGTAAGCAGTCTCATCACAAGAATGAGCAGATAAAAAAATAAATAAAAATAAAAATTTAAAACATATGTATATTAAAATAACAACTACAAATGTATAAATAAATAAATTTCAGTTCGTAATATTATAAAATAAATAAAAGCAAATCAATAAATACATAATATCATATATATTATGAAAAGTAATTTTGAATGGTATTTGGACAATTAATCGCCTATATATGAAATACTAGCTGTGTCCGCGGTTTCGGCCGGCTTGATATTTTTGCCTATGTGTTATTCTGATGTATAAGCTATATTACTGTTAAGTTTTATCAAAATCCATTCAGTAGTTTTTGCGTGAAAGAGTAACAAACATCCATCCATAAACAAACTTTCGCATTTATAGTTTTATTGAAATTCTCTCTCTGTCCAACCTATGTTCCCAATTAATCTGGAGTCGGGTCTCGCTGTACAGACAATTCTGTTCTGGATTCTGCTTCTTAATATTGTTCCACCAAGTGGCACGTGGTCTGCCCCTACCTCTGGTCGAGTTTGGTATCTTCAGCACTTATTTTAACCACGTCGTCTTCGCGTCTTTAGATATGGCTACACCAGCGTAAGCGACTTTCTCTCATTTTTTCCACGATAGGGAATTTTATAGTAGATATTATTAAAATTATAGGTATTAAAATAAAACAAGACAGGTTAGATCCAGATTACATTTATTGACCTTAATTTTTGTTTAATTTTTCCGAACGATTAAAGAGAAATAAGTTCATATCATATTATCTGTGAGTAACAAAATAGCACCTTTAAACGAGACAGTGGATAATAGGCTGGCAATATTACCAGATGCCTTTACAGTAATAATCACCTTCAGTATCGTACCAATCTATTAATTTCTTATCTTGCCCCATAAAAATACCTTTCAAATTAGGTGACGCCTCTAAAATCAAGTATAGAACCGCCTTAGCAGCTTCATCAGGTTCTAGGACTCCTCCTCCTTGTGCCATTTCGGTCTTTATATGCCCCGGATCCACTGCATTAATAGAAATATTACGCTTATAATATTTCCTCTGTTGTACCATAGTTAATGCTGTGAGAGCAATTTTAGATACTCTATGCTCAGCATGTTTTCCTTCGTCAGCGAAATCATTCATATTGAACGTTCCGTTTCGCACACTCTCTAAGTAACCGTCAACGAAACTATTTATATCATCTGTGGTGACATCCTTGTTTACCAAGGTGTCAATCCAGTGTTTGTTTTTTATATTTGATGGATGACCGCATGCACTGGAAATATTCACGACCCTGCCATTATCTCTTAGTAAAGGATATAAATATTCTTCGAGTTTTAGTAGACTTCTATAGTTACAGTTTATATTTCTTTTAGCTGCTTCGTAACTTGGGTAAACTTCGTCCCATTCTAAAATTGCTGCGTTATTCACTAGTACATCGAATCCTCCGTGCTTTGTTTTGATATAATTAGCAAAATTCTTAATGCTGTCACTGTCACACACATCTAGTACGTGGAATTCTGGTTTGAGACCGTCTTCGTTTAATTTCTTGACAGCTTCCAAGCCTCGTGTTTCGTTTCTTGCTGTTAGATAAACTGTGCCGGCGTATTTTTGACACAGTCCCTTCACTACTGCAAATCCTAGACCCTTATTTGAACCAGTAACAATAGCTACTTTTTCCGTCATCTTGCACGAATTACAAAGTTACTTCACAACAGTGTGATATGATAAATCAACGACCTACAGTTAGCAAGATAAATAACTAAATGTGACCAGTTCATTGTTCAAATTAGTACACTCAATTTACATAATTATTAACGTTTGTACTTTTAAGATGTAACTTATATATTTAAGTAAATATACATTACAGACAGAGATATTTATCTACACATCGACGGTTAAATAGAAAAATGTTAGTATTCAAAATGTATATTTATTATTAAAGTTTTATTTTTATTTATTTAAATTATTATGTTTTCCTTTAAAGTTTTAAATTTACACAAAAGTATTATATATCACTTTAAAAGTATTTAGATAATGATTAAGACAGCGTGGTTAATTTAATAGACTTTGAAAAATGACACTCTTCTATTTAATCGACTATATATACAATTCTCGTGTGACAGTATTACTTGCCATATATTGTTAACCGATTTTTATGTTTTTTTTTTGTTATATTTTTGGACGAGTTTAAAATTTTATTTTTATTTATTTGGATATCACTGTTTCTTAGTAGGCATGCAAATTTTTATTAATAATGTTTATTTACTTATGCTAATTATTTCACGAAAAAGTAGATAATAGAAAATAAATAGTTACCTACCATAGACGACAGAAGGAGACTGCAACAAGCTATCTTCATTCAGCTTTATTTTGTTAAGGTCAAAATTGAAATCGAAATGCCTTGAATGCAATAAGTAGAAATAAAACGTATACATAACTAGGCATATTAGACGGCCGCGGTGTTCTAGCTGTTTAGCACTCCGCCTGATGGTCGCGAGTTCGATTCCTTGCACAGTACAAACATTTGCATTTATGAGTATGATTGTTTGTGTTACTCTGAGTGTTTTTTATTAAGTATGTTTTATTTTAATCAAAAGTATTAATATCGGTAGTCTAGTACCTAGTACCACAGATAACATAATATAACACAATAGTACCTATAACACAAGCTCTGCTTACCTTGGGACTAGATACCGTATCCAGAGGTATTATTATTATATAAACATATCATATTGAGTGATCAACAATATGAGTTGTACCTTATAATTAATTTATCTGATGTTTTTGTTCTTAAGAAAATAAACAAGTATGTATAAGACCTTATTTATGCTTAATTAAGAAAAAAATGGGATGTCTAGCGAAACATATTTATACATCTATTTTAAGCATAATAATATGTTTTGTAATAGATATCTCAGACTTATAGATTATTAAGGCTGTATGTCTCCGACTCCTTCGCGCAGCTATAAAATTTTTTTATGTACAATAACTAATTAAACTCTATGAAATGTTGTCTATCGGATAAGGCAACTAATATCAACGTTTCTCACTAGTCAGATTTTATTTAAACAGGCTTGTTTTAGAATTGCACGTCCGAACTGAAAAAGTCGATTTTCACTAAAATGTGATCTATCTTTAGCTCAATCGTATGAAACCAATACAGTAAAATATAAAAAACAACAAACTACAAGAACAAAGAACAATAAAATATAAAGTAATAAAAACGCGCTAACTAACATTAATGAACTACATTTTTTTTACTATTCTGAAATTTAAACATAAAAATTTCGGAATTAAAAAAAATGTCTTTACTGCAATAATATAGTAAGTAGTAGTATTTACCTTTTACCATTGTACTTCTCGCCATCATCAGGAAATTCATCTCCACATTTAGAACCTAAGTGGTCTCGGACAGTGCGGTTTTAGAGGACCTTCCTCTTCCGTACACTTAGATTGTGGAATAAACTACCGACCTCGGTTTTCTCACGAGACTACAGCATGGGGTTTCTCAAGAAGGGTATAATATAAGGGTCGGCAACGTGCACGTGATACTCCTGGTGTCTCAGGCGTCCATAGGCTACGGTAACCATTTACTATCAGATGGGTCATATGCTTGTTTACCACCATCGTAGTATAAAAAAAAGTAAGCCGAGTATACCGTAAATATTTTCAGCAAAATTTCAATTATAAGTCATGACTAGGACCCTCACAGACACTGCAAATTTAATAAACATATGGCGAATTTAGGCCTTAGCTTACATCAATCTACAGATTTGACCAATCAGAAGAGGAAACGCCACTACACATCCTATGTGGTTATAGCCCACTCATACAAAAACGAAATATCTCCTTTGGAATGTATACACTATATCCTGAGGAGATAAAAACCATCGCTCCTAAAAATATCCTTCAATTCTTGTCCCTTACGGGTAGGGAACTCATAATAAGGGAGTGCACAATAGATCTATACAGGTCGCAGTGTTACAGGTCCTAGGTCCCAGACAATAGTTCAAACCCCCAATAAAAATAAAAGTATTGCTATCTCGCTTGGGTGAGGGAAGACACAAGGTCTCGGAATAGAGATAGAATACTGATTAATATCTACATCGTGACATTATTGCGTGGACACATTGTTCTTAAGCAGACGTCTTTTATTGAAAGAAAATGTTAGTCATTATCGCACGGCTCTTACATAAGAATAAATAACATACATGTTTTGATCTAAATATACCTATCAAATATTGTTTGAATAGTTTTTATATTATATTAACAGAGAAAGACACATATTATGAAAATGAAAATCCTATGACTAATATTATAATCGCGAAAGTTTTGGAGTATGGATGGATGGATGTTTACTTACTCCTTCTATTTGCAAAAACTATTGAATGGACATTGATGAAACAACACAGTAATTTTTTTATTTATTTTATTTTATTTGGGATACAAACAGTTTCACAATGTAGTATGTATATAAGTACATAGATATGAATTAATAATAGTAAAACCAATACAGATATCCACGGATTAATACTTATGTTATGTTACTCTTATTATTATATACATTATTTATTTACTGGTTTTACTTAATATGTCTAATAGGGTATTTCTTAAATTTAAAGTGTGACAAATCAAATATATCTAAATCAGGAAATTTGGTGTTAAATACATCAACAATATGGTGAAGAGGCGCTCGTGCACCGGCGTACGTCCGATAGGTTGGGGTGAAGAATACACGGCGTACCCTTACCAAACGACGGTGCACACTGGTTGGCACCACGTAGCACAGCTTATTAGTTAACTCAGTACAATCAAATGTATTTGCACAAATTTTATACAGGGTATTGTATTAAGCAAAATTCGTCTACGTTCCAAACACAGCATCCTGTATTTGTCTAATATACATTTATATATCTAAATAACACATAGGCTATAATTTATAAAGACATTATGTAAATTGGGGGAAATATAATCGGGGGAAATAAATATAATTGGGGGAAATATGTCAAGTAAGTGTGATGCAGACGAAGTTAGGCGGGTCAGCTAATAATATTTGTATAAAAACGTGTCACTTTGTTTGTACGCGATGGAATCCTAAACTACTGAACCGATTTTAATGAAATTACATGTGTATACTCGGTGGGCCTGAGAATAGGTTGTTATTTAATTTTTATACTCTTGCCTGATAAGGGTAGCCACCTCAAAAAGATCCTGAATATTTATGATATACATTTTTATTTTACACTTTTATGAATTGGCGTTGCAAATAATCCAACAATATTTTTTCACCTTTCCACCATCAACCCATGTTAATGTATAATTATATTAATTTATTCTACTACATGTATTATATAATAAAGTGTAACTAAAAATAAATTAATTTATATCCTATTATTTATATGCTTTACATTATATATAAAAAAAAATACTAAAAATAAATGCATCTACATAATGTTACACAAAAAGTAATATTAATTTTACACTGGTATTACTGCCAGCTGATAATTCTGTAATAAATAAAATGAGTAGGTAGTTTTGTTGCATTTATATTTCAAAGATATCTTATCTTACGGTAGAGGTGTTGAACTCGATTTTGCAGATGTTCATATATTAAATTTAGATTCAAATTAAAAAAAACGTTCTGATTTAGTATAACATTTTAGTTATTTAATTATATAGTATTCTAGCTGTACACGCGACTTCGTCCGCGTGGAATTGAACTTTATTTTTCTAAAATAAAATTAGCCTAAGTTACTCCTTATTACATCAGCTACCTACCAAAAAAAGTTCCGTCAAAATCGGTCCAGCCATTTCAGAGATTAGCTAAAACAAACATACAGACAGATAGATAGACAAAAATTGACAAAAATGTTATTTTGGTGTATGTAGCGTATTTACAATGTTATGCATACAGTAAAAAACGGTTATTTCTATATTACAAACACTAATTTTATTTATATGTATAGATTTTTGCTTGATGTAGTTTATGAAGGATGTTCTATTTTTGAACATTATTTCGTCGCTAATATTATAATTTGACACTATATATTATTTTATCTGTGCTATTTGCTTACAAATTGCCAGTTTTTAGTAAGGTACAGTTGACATGGCGCTTAATATGAATAATAATTAGTTTGGGGGCATATTAGGCTCGTGCGGCACGTATACGGGGTGACGGTTTTAAGATGAACAAGGCGATTTATCTACTAGAAGTATAGCATGGCCACAGAATGTATAATCACAGTAACTCGAGAATCGTTTTGTGGTATTGTCTCAAGAAAATAGTTTTCGTGGCGTAACTATACCTCTCAAAGACTGATGAGTGCAGAATGCGCTTTGAAATTGTCGAAAAAAAGGAAACATAATTTTTAGGGTGAGCTACCCTTAACACTTAGGGGTATAAAAATTTGTTATAAACCTATTCTTAGACCTAATGAATATACGTATAAAATTTCATCAAAATCGGTCACGCCGTACGAGTACAAACACGAAACCTGTGACACGAGAATTGTATATATATACTAGTTGTCCCGGCAAACGTTGTTTTGCCTTAAAATAAAAAAAAATTAGGGGTGGACTACCCCTAACATTTAGGGGGATAAAAAATAGATGTTGGCCAATTCTCAGACCTACTCAATACGCTCACAAAATATCATGAGAATCGGTCAAGCCGTTTCGGAGGAGTATGGGAACGAAAACTGTGACACGAGAATTTTATATACAAGATTAGGAATATAAATGTTAGGATATGTACAATTATAAACAGATAATATCTAAATAAAGGCTTTATTATTATTATTATATATAAAAATTACGTGTCACGTTGGTTGTCCGTGATGGACTACAAAACTACTCAACTGATTGCAAATTTGATTTGCACATTGTGTGCAATTTGATCCAACTTGAAACGTAGGATAGCTTACATCTCAATTTATAGTCACAATATTATTTTATTCAAGAACCTTAGCCACAGCAACGCGTGGCCGGGTCTGTTAGTCTATCTTCTAAATATATATAACTCAAAGGTGACTGACTGACATAGTGATCTATCAACGCACAGCCCAAACCACTGGACAGATCGGGCTGACATTTGGCATGCAGGTAGATGTTATGACGTAGGCATCCGCTAAGAAAGGATTTTGATTAATTCTACCCCCAACGGCATAAAATATGGGATGAAAGTTTGTATGAAACTTTGTCAATTTTAAACCGATCGGGCTGAGACTTTGCATGTATAAAGCTACTATGACGTAGGCATCCCCTAAGAAAGTAGTTTGATAAATTCCACCCCTAAGGAGATAAATTAACGCGAGCAAAGCCGCGGGCAAAAGCTGTTATTAGATAAATTGCTATCATCTAAAACAGTATTATAACTATTATTGCCAGTGGAAATACGATAAACGTGTCAAATACTCACATGAATATATGTAAAGTGAATGTGAGTATTATGCATTCTTTTTCCCCAAGAAGACAATGTCAAATAATGTAAGACGACATGTACTTATGATCCGTTTTGAATATAGCGTAAACATAGTTCTTACAGTAATGTGGACAATACCGTCTTTACCATACACGGGCACACGGGGTTCTCCGTGCCCGGAATTTAACCTTATTTACTAAAGTAAAAGTAGCCTAAGTTACTCCTTATTACATCAGCTATCTGCCAAAAAAGTCCCGGGGCCCCGTAAAAAAATTATTTTGGTGTATGCACCGTATTCATATGCATGTGTAAACAATTTTTCTCACACATTTATTCTCAAAAGATTCTTGTCGGGCACATCCTGACAATTTTAGACTACACAGGAATGTCTATGGGGTTTTTTCACAAATTTTATGAAAAAGAGAGGTATTTACAAGGCATATACTGACTGCCGACTACCAATTACTTCGCCTATTCCTGACACATAGCCCGAACGGAATTTTAAAATTGACAAAGTTTCATACAAACTCGCCGTATATATATCATCCCTATTTTATATAGAAAAAAGATTTAGAATTAATAAAAAATCCTTTTTCTTAGAATTCGTTAACGATAATGCCTACACTGACAATATTATCTAACATAATCTACATGCCTCTTACTTGCATGCCATTATTTATATTTTCACAAGTTGCTCATTCTTCTTGTGATGAATCTGCGTCCAGTGGTTTGGGCTGTAATGAGTTGATGAATAAAGATTATCTATTTCTATGTCCGTAGAGTTATATATATTTAGATTATAATCCATTAAAAAATGTAGGCCACATCTAGAAAATGTATACCAACTAGCTCCAGTTAACATCATTGTTAAAACGTGCTTAGCATCTAATTTGAATTTGATTACCAATGTACCAGTGAGCTCTTTGAAATTCTATACAATAAAATATGTATGACAATTATGAGTTACTATGGAAATGTGTTAATATCATAATCAAAGACTAGTTGTATCACAGCGAGACTCGCGAGATACAGGTCTTTTTACTTGATAAAGTAAAGAAGTAAGAAGTGGGGTAAGAATTCTTAAAATTAGTTAGTCTTCAAAATCATGACCATAAAAACAAATGTTTTATATATATAATATACTAGCTGTACCTGCGACTTCGTCTGCGTGGAATTAACTTTGTTTTTCTAAAATAAAAGTAGCCTAAGTTACTCTTTATTACATCAGCTACCTGCCAATAAAAGTCTCGTCAAAATCGGTAAAGCCATTTCATAGATTAGCCGGAACAAACAGACAGACGAAAATTGTAAAAAATATTATTTTGGTGTATGGACCGTTTTTATATTCATATGCATGTAGTAAAAAACTGTTATTTCAATATTACAAACAGACACTCCAATTTTATTTATTTTTTTATTTATATTGTATAGATGTATAAGATTCTCTTTGATCTAGCGATGTATTATTAAATAATAAAGTACACTGCCTTATTTCGATGGTCGTAGGTTCGACTCCTCGCATTTTTGTATTCCTGGTATTGTATGTGGCAAACAACCATACAGCCCTACCATCTGATGGTAAACGGTTACCACAGCCTATAGACGCCTGAAACACTAGGGGTATCACGTGCGCGTATCCGATTCTGATCCATCCGGACGATATTTTAGAATTTCGTTATCCAATTAACGCTTTGGGTTTCGAACCCTGTAAAGTCCATCTCATTTGCAAATTTCCGTCACAGGAATTCGATGAATTGCCAAATTACATGCGAACCACACGTTAATTGATTTTCCGGAAACTGTACATACGTAAATATGGAATAAACGGCCCTACTGAAATCGGCAGGCGATTTTCAATTTATACTACTAATTCTCTTGAATCGAACGTAATTGTTTTCGCATTTCAAGAAATAATGTAAATCTAAATATATATAACTCAAAGGTGACTGACATAGTGATCTATCAACGCACAGCCCAAACTACTGGACGGATCGGGCTGAAATTTGGCATGCAGGTAGATGTTATGACGTAGGCATCCGCTAAGAAAGGATTTTGATTAATTCTACCCTCAAGGGCATAAAATAGGGGATGAAAGTTAGTATGACACTTCGTCAATTTTAAACCGATCGGGCTGAGACTTTGCATGCAAGCTACCATGACGTAGGCATCCCCCAAGAAAGGATTTTGATAAATTCCACCCCTAAGGGGATAAATTAACTCGAGCGAAGTCGCGGGCAAAACCTAGTATGGAATAAACGGCCCGACTGAAATCGACATCGATTTCCAATTTATACTACTAACTAGCTACTTGCCTAACAAACCTACAAACCTTCCTTTTGAACCACTCTATCTATTAAATAAAAACCGGTTCAAAATCCGTTGCGTAGTTTTAAAGATTTAACCATACATAGGGACGGATAGACAGCGACTTTGTTTTATACATTATACACATAAACCAATTTTTTTCGCACATTATGAACCACTCTACATATTGAAAAAAATCCGTTCAAAGTCCGTTGCGTAGTTTTAAAGATTTATGATAAATATATTGCAACATAAAACGATATTGATCATTTAGATCGTCGGTCCATCTTGCGTGGAGGAATATCCCGCGCTGTGTTTTCGGAACGTCCGACAATCAGTCGCCACTCGAGGACTTGGCATGTAAGTGTAGTGTTAACCTAAATTTTATAAGGTGAAAGAAAATTCTGATTAACTTGTAATAATATTTATCATTTATTCATAAAATCACAGTGCATTGTACCTACTGTATTAACAATACAAAATTATGTTATAAATAAATATATTGCAACATAAAACAGAAACTCAATTATTTCTTAAAATTATACAATTACATATTATATCACACATAACTTTATTGCAAGAGAAACTATTAAAATTTATATAATTCATTATATTATATTTTTTAAATACTTTATATAATTAATGTTGTAAATAAATATTTATTACATTCTAAATTAAAATAAAAATATTATATATAAATAAATATTTTAATACCAAACTTCACAATGTTTGTAATGTAGTCGACTCCATTGCATTCTATGTGAAACTCAGTGTATATTTTTATTTACTCATAATTTGTTGAAACTGTTTATTTTTGTCTTATAATGTATTAATAATTAATAATTAATTTCTTTAACCTAACTATTTTTGTAATATTTAAATATATATATTTTTAATACATAAACCCGTATTATTTTTTTAAGTAGCCTATTTATATGTTTAAAAGTCAAAATATTATACATAGGTAATGTACGTATTTATATATCAAACAAATATATGCAACAAATTTATTTTATGTATATATAATAATTATAATATATGAAACATATAAAGTTTATTATACATTGGACCCTGCACTAGGCAATCCTCTATAGCGGGAGTCCACAAAAGAATTTCCAGATGTTAATAACTATTACAGATCAGCGAGTTGAGTAGTTTTGATATATCATAAGAGCATGCAATGAACCCACACAAAAGAAGATATTAATAAAAACATTTCAGTTAAATACTTTACATAAGGAGAGATATTTCAAAGTTAACAGATAAGGTAAGGGGTTTTTTGTAATGTGGATCAATTACCCCATTGCTAGCAATGTACCATGGTTGGCCTCCACACGGTTCCCCCTGGAAACCATCATGTTAAATTCCTGATAACCATCGTGATAAATTCCATATAAATTTAGCACGATGGGCTGCATATGTTAGCGCAGGCGGGTGCACCATTCCATTATCATCTCTATGAACAAAATCTAACAGATTGCATTTTTTTTCTATATTACATTTTTTTTGCGAAGACATGTGCATCTGTAATTACGAATAATAATAATCCTGGATAATTAGCACAGCGCCATCTAGTCCCATGATAAGCAGAGCTTGTGTTATGTACTAGACAACTGATATAAATACTTAGATATTGTTTTTTGTAAATACATACATAATATACATGAAAACAGCCAGACCGATACAAACAATCGTACTTATGAATACAAATATTTGCACCGTGCGAGGAATCGAACCCGCGACCATCAGAAGTAAAGCGGTGTGATAAACCGCTAGACCACCGAGGCCGAATAGAAACTTAACTATAGATATTTAAGAATTGTTGTACATAATAACTTTAACATCACCACAGAGTTAGTTATAAACTATATTGGTACTAACCTGAATTATATATACATAATTATGAAACATTTTTACAAAACTATTCGAAACAAACGTTGATCATCATCATCACATCGAAACGCCTGCTTTCCTAGATGGGGTAGCCAGTGTCATTGTCAACTGTTGATATCATAATAAATGCAACACTTTACGTGGTTTGAAATATCTCACCTTGCCGTAAAGAATAAAAATTCCTCTTTATTTCATGCGATTAAAAAAAATAGGAGACTATTTTATATTAAGAACTTTGGGCTATTACTAGGTGCTAAAGGGACTTGTAGCACTGCGACCTGTATAGATCTATTGTGCTCGTTCGTTTTTAGAGTTAGTACCTAGGACCGTCAGGGACAAGAATTGAAGGATATCCTTAGAGCGATGGTTTCTGTCTCCTCAGGAGATAGTGTACTTTCCAAAGGAGATATTTCGTTTGTGCATGAGTGGGCTACAACCGCATGGGACGTGCAAAATTTGCAAATCTTTGTTGAGTACAGGGCTATGTGTTTGTGTTTATTCAGGAGATATAATTTCAGTGTTTATTTTTTGCGAGTTATCTTAGATTCTTTTTGTTCTACTTCAAGGCTAGAATTTTTAATAGAACAAAAACTTTAATAGAACGTTTTTGTTTGAAAATATTAAAATTCTACACAAACACTGAATCGAACCCAGTAAAGTCCATCTCATTTGCAATTTGTTTTTGTTCAAAATATAAAAAAATGATGGTGGACAACTCTTATCACTTAGGTGTATGAAAAATAAATAGGAGCCGTCTAAAAATCAGCTGCTTTTCAGACCTACTGAATATGCATATAAAATTTCAAAGAAATTGGGCAAGCCGTTTCGGAGGAGTATGGTAACTAACATTTTGGTTCGATAATTTTATGTATAAGATATACTGGATATCTAGATACTAATATAATAGGAACTTTCTTTATTTATTATATTATATATCTTTACATGATCTCACTTTTTCTAACTAGAATTATTTACTATCTCTTTAATCAGAGATTTAAGCTGTATCTTGTTTAATTCAACTTTCGACAAATTCAAGTTTTATTTTATGTAACTGAAATGGCAAGTGGTGACCGTGACCATTAATGGTAACCTGGTGAATGGCAACCATCGCATTTATACCTACATATTATACATCAAAATTATCTTCAGAATTCATTCTTCTCATTATAGACGTAAATACTTCACTGTTACCATTTAGACCTTCCTTTCCTTTGTAATAAGGATACTCGGCATTCGTAGACAAATAATATATACCTGGTTTATCGAAATCAGTATTGAAACCAACGTAATTAATTTCCGTATTATTGTAACAATTAGCTAACCGCGCATCTTGTACAGAATCACATTTGACTGCGATGAATTTCTTTGGATTTTCCAAAGCCTGCCACCAGTATAGCGTAGCTTTGACATGGCTGCATAGAACTAAGCAAGGAATGGATGGTATATCGCCAGGTTGAAATTCACCGCCGTTGATGTATATATCTATATGTCCCAGTCTCTCTGCTATTCCAAAACCGTCTATATTAGTATGCAGGACATCAACTCTCTCGGCGTCTGATGAATCAAGTCTGTTTTCTGCTGTCTTTGTTCTAAAGCACGGTCCAGCTGGATCTAGAGGTTAAGAAAAATGTTTATTGTTTATAATTTGAATAGATTTAAAAAAATATATTGTTTGCACATTTTGACCCACTCAGTATCCTGTGCCACGCTGTATTGGGTTGGCTGGAAGATATCTCTTTTAGAGATAGAGGTTATTTGGAAGAGATTTCGTTAGTGGCAAGACCACCTTTAGTACCTGTTTCATTTCCTTCCTTCTTGTTACTACTTTTAATGTTTTTGTAAAAATAATAAAAAATTACAAAAAAATTAATATTACAGTTATAAAAGTTCTAATAAATTTCTATGAATTATCAATATCTGTACTTTTTTACATTTCCCATTACTGAGCAAAGACCTCCTCCACATACATCCAAACTCACTTTACTTCAATGTTATAAACGCGAAAGTTTGTGAGTAGGGATGGATGTTTGTTACTCTTTCACGCAAAAACTACTGAATGAATTTTAATGAAACTTAACAATATTTCATACACATACTTCATACATCTGAAGAACACATAGGCTAGAACATTCGCGCGTGTAAAACCGCGGGCAAGTCTAGTAAATGATATAGAAAATTACAACATTGTTGATATAAAAAAGAATTGTAGAAATATGTTCAGCTTTGAAAATATGACTAAAACACCGTCGAATTGGGGGCATTCTAATTTTGGTGGTTAGATGAAAATTAAAACGTGCATTTTATGTGTTTGTTGTTAACGCAACCGTCATTTAAAGAATGCTGTAACAATTTTAATTATCCTGTGCTGATCACAAGTAGCTATGTATGATGCCATAAATGGCAAAAAGAACCAAAATGTTACTTTCATGTCACATATCTGTTGCGAGATATTTTTTATACCATTTTTATTATCTTTGTTTTTTATAACACTATATTGTTTTACAAATGTAACATAGGTCAATATATTTTTTGCGACTATATCGGAGCCTTTTTCTTTGCTCGTCTCGTCTTGATCTCCTTCTTTCACAATATCTTTACATAGACTTTTAAATGAAGTCGCTGTCGCTGTCTCTTCGCTTAGATTTTATAAACTATGCAAGGGATTTTCATGTAGTTTTTAGCGTGATAAAAGTGATTCATGAGGAAGGTTTATATTCATAATACATGTACGTTTCTACGGATCGGGGCGGATAGCTAGTATAAATAGTGCTATTATCAGATATTTACTTACCCAATGCAGTCAGTCTAGATGGTTTTCTTCCCGTGACAGAATAGTAATACTTAGCAGCGTAACCAGCAACATGACAGCCCAAACTCAAGCCGACTAGTTCGAGATTCTCTGGCTTCATTCCCATTGCAGTCAGGTTAACCAGAAATTCGCCGATTTTGTTGCCTATTGGCCGAGCTAAGCGGACAGATCTGGAAGTTAAATAAGATATATGTAGTCTTAATCATATATATTTTTTTAATTTTATGTGATTTATTTGATTGATTAAAAGTAGCGTAGGGATGGGATAGTGATAAAAAAACTATAACTATCAGATGGCAATTGTGAGCAGCTTTGACGTGGAAACGCTCACTAAAACACATCCTATGTCAGTAAAATATGGTCGAGCGCAGTGATGGCTTCATCCGTCATAAGTGAAATATCTTGTCCTGGTCTGGAATCACTATGACTGACTCTTATTAATTGTTTAACCAGTGGAGGTATTTAATTGAAAATCATGGTGGTTTGTTCACACACTTAAACTTAAAAAAGTAATAATAAAATTATTTCAAGTTTTTGTCGTTCTTCTTGTGATGAGACAGCTTTCCGAACGAGCGGTAGATTAAAAAAAAAAATGTTGAATAAAAGTGCTTCAATGTAAGTTTATTTGAATAAATGATTTTCTATTCTATTCTATTCAGATGTAATAGTAATTCTAAAAGTAGGAATGGAATAGTGATAAAAAAATTTCCATGCAGAAGAGGGCCACTACACATCCCTCAATAAAAAAAATATGACTGTAGAGATAAAAACTATTGCACTAATAATCCGTATAAGAGGGATGGGATAATTATCCCACAGGCCTCCTATTTGTAGGACAACAATGAGGGGTCTTCATAGGCGGACCAGCGCCGTCAGGATTGCGGAAGATTGCTCGCACGTTCCCGTAACTCTGACAAAAGGTTAAGAGAAACACTTTGGCATATTTAGCCGGTAAGACTCCTCAGCACTCGTCTACCACACCTAACCAAGTCGGACGAAGTTGGGCACAGCTAGTAACCAATATATTGGAATACATTCCATATAAGGGAGGAATAATAATCCGGATAAGTGGGATGGGATAATTATCCCACAGGCCTCCTATTTGTTGGACAATAATGATGAAATGAAGAGCCCCTCATAAGCGGACCAGCGCCATCAGGAATGCGGAAGATTGCTCGCACGTTCCCGTCACTCTGAGAGGGCTAAGAGAAACACCTTGGGATATTTACGGACGGATGAAGTCGGGCACAGCTAGTAACCAATATATTGGAATACTTTCCATATAGAGCAGCACTCTTCAAAGTTTTACAAATCTAGGGCCAAAAAAATTTTTTTCTTCATAGCGGGCCGCATCATAGGTACTCGTATTTTTATAAGGATTTTTTTTATTTTATATTAAAAGTACTTTTTATTACTTAATTGTTGTTGTTTTTGAGAGTGGGCCTAAGAGTGGGTGGGCCGCATGCAGCCCGCGGGCCGCGGGTTGAAGACCCTTGATATAGTGATATAGGGGATGAAAGGTCGGGGTGCATGCCTTGAGGGAGGCACCACACCACAACCAGGTCCCTGGAGGCGCGCGCGTGGACCCACGCGCCTCCACGAGAAGGTAGGGTGCAAGTCATAGCACCCTAACCAGAGAGAGGGGGCCTGTCCTACAACATCTAAACTGTCCTACATCATATAAACTTCTGTAAACCATATCGCATGCCGTGGCAACCAGTAATTAAGTCAACACTATACATATACCTGAACTCTTTGCAAGCAATAATTGTAACCTCACGGTGTATGTCTTGTTGGTCGCTTAAATAAATAAATAAATAAAATAAATAAATAAATAAATAAATCTACAGGACAGGCCAAGCCGCCGAAGTCTGGGTTGAGTGCCAAGTACGAACCCCGGACTACGGCCCACGGCACCTCGAGGTATACCGTTTGGTTTTTTAGTGGGTACGAGTCCCACACACCACCTCGCCATCCCTCCGGCGGGGTGACGGTCTTGTTGAAGATTTTTCCACACGATAAAAAAAAAAGGGGATGAAAGTTAGTATCGAAAATCGTTATTTTTGAAAAAAATCATGTTCTAAAAGTAAAGAGTTGCATAGTTGCAACTCTTTACTTTTAGAACATTTTTTTTAGTCAAGCTCACTATAAGACGTGGACGGAGTCGCGGGCACAGCTAGTAAACATATTTCTTTACGGAACAAATATCACGCTTCATAAACTCTATTTTCTTAATTCGTGTAACAATTTATTTTTGTAATGTGCATGTTTATTATGCACGTTTCTCATAAAGAGATTATTCACTATTATTACAAGGTACGTAAACACATTTCCTTATTAACGTTTATGAGTTATCGGCTGTAAATCTTGTGCAATATGGTGCACAAAGAAATAACGCTGTACCTACATTCATAGCATATCGTTATATATAAAGATTAGTCTTATTCGCGACTTCGTACGCGTGGAATTTAACTTTATCTTTCTATAATAAAAGTAGTTTAAGTTACTCCTGCATACATCAGCTGCCTGACAATAAAAGTCCAATCAAAATCGGTCCAGCCATTTCAGAGATTTACCGGAACAAACAGACAGACAGACAGACAAAAATTATAAAAGAAAAATATTTTGATGTATGTACTGTATTTATATTCATATCATCATCATCATCATCATCATCGCAGCCCGGAAGACGTCCACTGCTGGACATAGGCCTATATGGCATATATTCATATGCGTGTAGTAAAAAACGGTTATTTCAGTATTAGAAACAGACACTACAATTTTATTTATATGTATAGATTACGTGTCACGTTGTTTGTCCGTTTGTCCGCAATGGACTCCTAAACTACTAAACCGATTGCAAATTTGATTTGCACATTGTGTGCAATTTAATCCAACTTGAAAGATAGGATAGCTTACATCTCAATTTATAGTCGCAATATTATTTTATTCAAGAACCTTAGCCACAGCAACGCGTGGCCGAGTCTAGTATAATTATATAAACGTCTTTCTATATAATAAATAAATAACCCTGGACAATTAACACAGCGCCACCTAGTCCCACGGTAAGCAGAGCTTGTGTTATGGGTACTAAACAACTAATAAATACATAGATTTTTTTTCGTAAATATACTTATTATACATAGAAAACATCCAGACCGGTACGGACAATCATACTCATGAATATAATTGTGCCGCGTGAGGAATCGAACCAGCGACCATCGGAAGTAAGGCGGTATGCTAAACCACTAGACCACCGAGGTTGACGGCCTTGGAATTTTCTATGTTTCGGAAACACGAATACAGTTTGATAGAGATATTTAATTGATATATTATAGCAATGGAGGTCGTAATGATAACTATAATTCAATAATGCTTCTATATCATGAAACAATATACATCTATACATATAAATAAAATTGTAGTGTCTGTTTGTAATATTGAAATAACTGTTTTTTACTACATGCATATGAATATAAACACGGTACATACGTCAAAATATCATATTTTAGAATTTTTGTCTGTCTGTCTGTCTGTTTGTTCCGGCTAATAAATTCTTCGTGAATTGCCACGATGGCTAACTGACGTGACCTCATGCTCATCTTATCATCCTCCACTGGTGCCCCGCCAGCGTAAACCGTTAGCTCAGGTAAGTGCACCATTCCATAATCATCCATAAAAAAAAATTCAATAGAAGAGAGTATGAAATTTATTTCTCCACCTTTGATCTCTTTATGTGATCTTCTTAAACTTTCTTCTTGAACTCCTGAAAGAACTAATTTTAAGTAATAAAAACGTTTACTCACTTTGGATAAACGTGTGACAGGAATTGTATGGTTTCTGAAATGAACACGTTGTAGCCTCGTTTCGCGTACGATGATGCCACTGCTACGGTGTGAAGGAAGACTGAGGTATCCAGGAAACCAACTAAGTAAACAACGGTCTTCTTGTTTTTCAGATCTGCAATGTCATATGAAATTAATAATTCAAATTAAAAAAAAAAATTCAGATAACACAATTTTTACTAAATTCTATACAGCTGTTGATGATTCCTTTTAGGCATAAAGACGTCTGACTATCTGTACCATAATAATAACATACTAATACTTACTAATACTGTACATCTATCTGTAGAGCGCTATCACGCCAAAATTTCTAAAAAATTTGAATTAAATTTGGTACACAGATAGTATTTATTTATTTATTTATTTATTTATCTATTTAGGAAGATTAACGGTGTAATTTTTAACATGTTACTTGTCATATAAAATTGTCGTATGCCAATTAATAATCTTCGCCAATAGTATTACCAGATTAAATTTTTCATTAGCCAATTTTAACATATTGAAGTAATCACGTGACAGTGTTTCAGTTGTAGTTATACAGTACAAGTAAATAGACCAACATACCCACAAGTAGCGATGTATCCACAGAATAAACAAATATCACTGTTGATCATCACTTATTGGCATTAATACTCTATAAATCTATTTTATTTATTGAATAAACACGACATCACAATTACTACTTTGGCCAGTGTTGCCAGAGTGAGAGTGAGTATAGACTCTGAGAAAGGCTTTTTAATGCAAAAATTGGGTTTTAAGGGGTTGAAAGGGAGATGAAAGGTTGTATTAGTATCGTCATTTTTAAAAGTAGAAGTTTGATATTTTTAGGCTGTTGATAAAATATAAATGAATATCATTCAAAATTTATAAACTTTTCAAAGGAGATATTACGTTTATGCATGATTGGGCTATATATATATATACATAAGATGTGTAATAGCGTTTTCTCTTTAGCTTAGCAAAATCTGCAGATTTTTGTTGTGCACTGACCTAAGTTTGCATAATGTTCAAATTTGCACTTTATAGTTGTAGCACTCCGACCCACATACATAGATCTATTGTGCTCGCCGTTTTTCAGAAATAATAGTTATTATATAAGTCACTGAAGACTGAACTAGATGGCTTGAGGGTACAAAAAATAGGTGAGAAGAAATACCCATCTTACTTTGTTCAAAGTGTCTAGACTATAAAAGTCTTACCTATATTGTAATTCTTGCTGGTCTTCGCAGCGGTGCTGACTGGCATACGATGTCTGACAGCACCGTTGGCAGTCCACTGGTGTAGTACAATTTGCAGGTACTGCAACATTTTGGGAGTTATGCTGGCATTCTTGAACGACCCCGGACCTAGTTAATGAATATTAGTATTAATAATAGCAATAATAATAACAACAACAGAACACCATAGAAAATAGACGAGGAAAAATGTTAGGGCACTTGATACGGCACGATGATTTCATGAAAATTATTATTGAGGGGAAAATAGAAGGAAAGAGGGGGAGGGGAAGACCAAGGAATAGCTACATCAAACAAATTGAGGACAAAATGGGAGTCGTGTCGTATCAAGAATTAAAGAGCACGATGGAAGATCGCGGAAAGTGGCAAGAGCTCCACCGACAAGAGCGTAGCTCTTAAATTATGAATGAATGATATGTATACTGTATGGCAATCAAAGTGTACAACAATCTTCCAAGAGAGATTAAAGAACTGGGATCTCATACGTTATTCAAACGCAAACTAAAGAATTGGCTGTCACTTGGTAATTTTTACAGTGTCCAAGAATATTTAAGTAACACAAACACTTTCACATAATTAGAGTGCCTATATGGTAAATATTGCTGATCAATCAATTTCATGTAACATCATATTAATTATAATACTGTACCAATATTCCGCAAATAAATTATTTCATTCATTTCATTCAACCCTACACAATTCAGCAGAGCTACAGGCTTTCTGGGTACTAGACAATTGATAGAGATACATAAATACATTTTTTTGTAAATACACACATAATCTACATAGAAAACAACGAACCTGATACAGCTAACTTTAGCTTATATAGATATATCTTATATATAAAATTCTCGTGTCACAGTTTTCGTTCCCATACTCCTCCGAAACGGCTTGACCGATTCTCATGAAATTTTGTGAGCGTATTGAGTGGGTCTGAGAATCGGTCAACATCTATTTTTCACCCCCCTAAATGTTAGGGGTAGTCCACCCCAAAATTTTTTTTTTATTTTAAGGCAATACAACGTTTGCCGGGACAGCTAGTACATATATACAATTCTCGTGTCACAATATTAGTTACTGTAATCCTTGACCGGTTTTTATGAAATTTTATAGGCATATTCAGTCTGAGAATCGGCTACTATCTATTTTTTACACCCCTAAGTGATAAAGGTCCACCCCAAACAGTAATTTTTTTTTGTATAATGTGGCATTTAGAAAATATATAGAACCCTAAGTTTTCAGCTTTCTACCATCAACCCCTATTTTTAAATAGAGATATTAATTCAGATGTCAAAATAATGTTTGGTGGGTCAGCTAGTTATATTATATTAAAACAGGACATACAGGCACGGACTGTTTTAGAAATTTCATTATACTCGTATATATGTTATATTTTCTTGTCAGTTTGCCTGTCCATTCACGTGTAATACAACGTACTGATTCCGCGGAAAATCGGTCCCCTTTGATATTTTTCCTCGTAATATCAAAAGGACTTTCATTTCTTCATGACTACCTTTATATTGTACCTTTCATTTGTCTCTAATCAAAGTCAATATGAACATAGTTAGGAAATATATCTATACATATATATAAAATTGGAGTGTCTATTTGTAATATTGAAATAACCGTTTTTTACTACATGCATATAATCCGTAAATAATATATTTATATTCATATAATATAAATACGGTACATATACCAAAATAACATTTTTTACAATTTTTGTCTGTTTGTTCCAGCTACTCTCTGAAATGGCTGGACAGATTTGATTGACGGGACTAATGTAATAAGGAGAAACTTAGGTTACAAATTCCACGCGGATAAAGTCTAAATATATACAAATATGTGTTAATGTAAAAAGAGATGGATGGAAAGTGAAAGATCATTATAGTAGGAAACGGAGTAAATAACGAGATGACTGCGAACAGGTATGAATGGAAGAGAAAAACATATTACGTCGACCGCAAATAAATGGGATAAGGAAGAAGCACATTATGATATCTATACTAATATTATAAACAGGTAAAGTTCCATAAAAACACCCAGACAGATACAAACAATCATACTCATGAATACAAATGTTTGTACCGTGCGAGGAATCGAACCCACGACCATCGGATAGTAAAGCGGTGTGCTAAACCACTAGACCAACGAGGCTCTCGACATAGTACATAATGTGTCAATAATTAATATTAGCTATTATATATATTAGTAGGACTTAATTAGTTGTCGTTGTAAATTGTCTCTAACAATTTATCTGACTAGTCGACAATGACACGAGCCTACCGGCCAGCCCTGACCATGTCAGGAATGGAGTTATCGCCATATATTTATCCTAATTGGACATACCAATGTACGAGTACAGAATTACTGCAATCGCTACCCGCAATCATCTCCAATAGCCTTTTTTTATTTGAATAAACCTTGTACAAAGTTGTCTATGTAAATATATATCCCATCAAAAACAAAAATGTGAAATGATAGTTGTTTTCAATATTATGATATATGCCTTGATTCTTGATTTCAACGACAAAAGAAGTGAGAACTAAATGGGTACCAGGTTCAATGGTCAGTCCTGAAATGTATTTATAACAATATAAAATATAATTTCTTTTTATAACTTAGGATAATATACTGTACTAAGGTCTGACTTGGCTAATTTGACAGGTTTATGTGAAAGAGTTTTTGAGTTATGAGCTTTGACACGGCTTTGACACGCTCCCGCGTGTCTAGATAACTCAAAGATGACTGACTGACATAGTGATTTATCAACGCACAGCCCAAACCACTGGACGGATTGGGCTGAAATTTGGCATGCAGGTAGATGTTATGACGTAGGCATCCGCTAAGAAAGTATTTGGATTAATTCTACCCCCAAGGGGATAAAATAGAGGATGAGAGTTTGTATGAAACTTTGTCAATTTTAAACCGATCGGACTGAGACTTTACATGCATAAAGCTACTATGATGTAGGCATCCTCTAAGAAAGGATTTTGATAAATTCCACCCCTAAGGGGATAAAATAGAGGATAAAAGTTTGTATATTGTATAATTTTTAGTTCTTTAGGCTACTTTTATTTTAGAAAAATAAAGTTTAGTACCACGCGGACGAAGTCGCCGGAACAGCTAGTAATAATATAATAATAAAAATAATGTTTTTGGATAATTTGAACATGGTTTTTCAGGCGTCCATAGGCTATGTGTACAACATTTACTTGAAAAGAATACAAGCCCAGTTTCTTGTCAGGGTTACGAACACTGATTAGACTATTTGCTTTTACAATAGCATATGCTGGTGGTCACTCTATTCACCCATATTTGAATTTAAAAATGAATCTGTATTATTGTATACATGTACATAATTTATTATTTGTAACTAGCTACCGACCCCGTCTTCGCACGGGTATACACGTATTATACATATAAATCTTCCTCTTGAAGAACTCTATCTATTAAAAAAAATTGCTTCAAAATCTGTTGCGTAGTTTAAAGATTTAAGCATATGTACATAGGGACGGAAAGACAGCGACAGCGACTTTGTTTTATACTATGTAGTGATGAAGAATACGAGCTGAGTTTCTTTTCAGTTCTTCTCATCTCGAAATCATTCCGAACTGTCGGTAGATTTGACATATCATAAGAGTCTGTAATAGACCTACATGAATAAAGATATTTTGAATTTGAATTTCAATAAAAAAAATATATTTTTCCATTCCGTTTATAGGACGAATTGCGTATTCTACACCTGATTATACAAGTACAGGAACAAAGTTTGAGATAACAGTTATTCAATTGTAGATACTTCATATGTTTCAATGACATTACGTTATTGAGGTACTTGGAATATTTTTTGTTGGGTTACAAGGTCTACAAAAATATTATAAAACATATGTAATTTATGTACAAACGTAATACAAAACGATATCGTACCTCATATGACGCAAAACAACACAATATTACATAATAAAATACTTAAATGAAAAACATACAAAATACAGGTAACATGGCAGAATTTTCTATTTTTCTTGCAGAGTTTTTTTTTCTATTTATTTTCAACTAATTGTGGCCTCTACTTTCTAATAGTGAGTCTTGGTTAGCATTTTTAATTATCTAAGTTAATGATTTTACAATAAATAAGACATGGCATGGTATAGTGACCCTTGGATAGCATTTTTAATTATCTAAGCTAATGATTTTACAATAAATAAGACATGGCATGGTATAGTGACCCTTGGATAGCATTTTTAATTATCTAAGCTAATGATTTTACAATAAATAAGACATGGCATGGTATAGTGACCCTTGGATAGCATTTTTAATTATCTAAGCTAATGATTTTACAATAAATAAGACATGGCATGGTATAGTGACCCTAGCTAGACGAAGAGATTATCCGCATTATTAATTATCTAAGTTCCAAAAATGATGAATTTCCATACAAATTTTACTAATAAAATTCTAAAGACTAACATTCTTACAAATTTGAATAGAATAGAATAGAAATAAGAATAGTAATAATCTTTATTCAGATAAACTCATTAGAAGCACTTTTTTAATACATATTCATTACAGTATAACAAGTAAGATTTTACAATCAACATAGAAAAGACATTATTGGTAATCAGATAATATTGTCAGTGCTGTGGATTTAAAGTTTTTTCTATAAAAACATTATACAGTTTTATACAGACCTTCATTAACTTGGATAATTGACGAATTTTCATGCATTTTTAATTATCGTTAAGGGTAACATTTTTAAAAACTTTCAATTGTCATATTTATATATATTCAATCAAATAAGTAACATGGCATGACGATACTTCCATCCAATCTTTCATCTCCCTTTTCAACCTCATACAACACTTTTTTAGCACTAAAAAATAGCATTTTTAATTATCTAAGCTAATGATTTTACAATAAATAAGACATGGCAAATCTACTCTATTTTATGTTGTTTCTAATAAATTAACTAGCTAAATAAACACTAATAAATTAAAAACGCGGGAACTTTTCAATAATACCCTAATCTGGGCAGACTATCAGGAAATGCTTTTAAAAACTATGATAGAAAAGTAACTTCTTTTAAAAGTTAGACAGTAATAAATGTGGTTAGATGAGTCAGTTAGTCATACTATGGGATCGAGATGATAGCTTGGACCCATAGAATTTCGCGGGAATATTTCCATTTAATAAAACATTATTAATTTTAAGATATTTAGATTTTCTACCAAATCACCTACGTGTGTAGATGTAAGTTTCGTCCGTTTCAGTCGCCAAACAGTATACATTTCGTAACAATAAATAAATAATGAATAAAAAATGTGAATAAAGATACGTAGTAAATAAATAAATAATCCTGGTCAATTAACAAAGCGCCTTCTGGCAACTGATATAAATACTTACAAATACTTGCATATTATTTTTTAAATACATACATAATATACATAGAAAACATCAAAACTGATACAAACAATCATACTCATGAATACAAATGTTTGCACGTGTGAGGAATCGAAACGCGACCATCGGAAGTGAAGCGGTGTATTTAACCGCTAGACTACCGAGGCCGTCATATTATACATTTATTCTTATTATTAATTATTATTAATATTATAATGCTGAAGAGTTTGTTTGAACGCGCTAATCACAGAAACTACTGGTTCGAATTCAATAATTCTTTTTGTGTTTGATAGTCCACTTGTCGAGGAAGGCTTTAAGCTATATTACATTACACTACGACCAATAGGATCGGAGCAGCAATGAAAAATATTACAAAAAATGGTGAAATGAAACGCAGACGAAGTTGCAGCGGATCACCTAGTTATATACATGTAATTATTATTAAATAATAGTTGAAATACCAATATTTATGATGCTAATCATTATGTTTAATGTCCCATAATGATACAGAAGTTATTGGTATTAAGTATTGTTTGATGGTGGACTTCCTGTTATTTGAATGTTTTATACCCACATATTTAGATATGCTTCACTGTAAACAATATAATTATCATCAGTCTCATCATCATCACTATAGCAACACATTACACTCTCACGATCAAGGGGATTTTTACTAACTGTTACATATTGTAATATTCTTCTTTTTGATTTGAAAATAGCTGTTCCCGCAACTGCGTCCGCGTGAAAATTAACATTTTTTTTCTAAATTTCTTTATAATTTTGGGGTGGGCTACCCCTGGCTATTTAGGGGGATGAAAAATAGATGTTGGCAGATTCTCAGACCTACTCAATACGCTCACAAAATTTCATGAGAATCTGAATCCGTTTCGGAGGAGTATGGGAACGAAAACTGTGACACGAGAATTTTATATATTAGATAATATAATATAATAATATCTCAGGACAATTCACACAGCGCCATCTAGTCCCAAGCTAAGGCAGAGCTTGTGTTATGGGTACTAGACAACTGATATAAATACATGGATACATTTTATTTTGTAAATAAATACATATTATACATAGAAAACACCCAGACCGATACCAACAATCATACTCGTGAATATGTTTGTACCGTGCGAGGAATCGAACCCACGACCGGAAAGTAAAGCGGTGTGCTAAACCACTAGACCACCGAGGCTGTATATTTGAAAAGAATACGAGCTAAATATTATTATTATAAGAGTCTGTAATAGACCTACGTGAATAAAGATATTTTGAATTTTTGAATTTTGTTGACTTTTTACAAAGTCTATCGCGGTAATAGGTTTTATAAAAAACTTTTCTTGAATAGTAGATTATCTGGCTAAAATCTAGACACGCGGTAGCGTGTCAAGCCGAGTTTCAAGTAAGAGAACTGGCGAGCAGCACCGTGTGTATATTTACACGAACCATTTGGAGCCACATTTGATCCCCTCATAACTCAAAAAGATATTTCACTAAATCTGTCAAATTTGGTTTATATTGAGACTTGCGAGATAAATATGTGTTCCAAATTTCATAAACATATCTCAAACGGTTATTTAGATATTAACGTCCAAATATCATCATTTTTATCACTGATCAACTATAGATCAAAATTATAACCCCTGGAAGTGGGTGTCATTCGAAATATACTGTAGCCTTCGCAAGTTCTAAACATGTTACTTGTCGGTTTCTATATATAATATTTATTTATTTACAATCGAAAAATAAAATATATCCATGTATTTATATCAGTATATTATGCTAAGTTATAAGAAGAAATGATATTTCTCTGTTATAAATAAATTTGGACAGACCATTGAACTTGGCGCTGTGTCAATTGTCCTAGAGTCAACAATCAAGGCATATATCATAATATTAAATTCGGCTATCATTTCATATTTATGTTTTTGATGGGATAGAAGTACTCACAATCTGCTAAGTAGCCAACTGCTGTCCCGATTTCTGGATTGCTAGAATATACCGCAGCATTGCTGGCAGTGACTAGCACCGCCAGGAATGTGATGATGGAGAGCATCCTCCTGTAAATTATAGTGTACAAAATATTAAATGATTACATAGAATAAAATAAAGTCGCTGTCGCTGTCTGTCCGTTCCTATGTATGCTTAAATCTTTAAAACTACGCAACGGATTTTGACGCGGGTTTTTTAAATAGATAGAGTGTTTTAAGAGGAATGTTTATGTATATAATACATGTGCACCCGGGCGATGTAGAAGTATTTTTAATATATAAAAATTCTCGTGTCAAAATTTTCGTGTTTATACTCCTCCTAAACGGCTTCACCGATTTTGATTAAATTTTATATGTATATTCAGTACAGATATACATATAAAAATTTAATCAAAATTGGCCTAGAAATTTATATATATATATATCTGGACGATCCACACAGCGCCATCTAGTTCCAAGTTATATGTTACTATCTACTCGCCCCGGCTTCGCACGGGTATAATGTATTATATATATAAACCATCCTCTTGAATCACTCTATCTAATAAAAAAACCGCTTCAAAATCCGTTACGTAGTTTTAAAGATTTAAGCTTACATAGGGACGGACAGACAGCGACAGCGACTTTATTTTATACTATGTAATGATGAATATTAGAATAACTGATACAAATATATACATATTTTTGTAAATACATACATAATACACATAGAAAATAGCTAGACCGATACAAACCATCATACCTACTTATCAATAAAAATGTAACGAGGAATCGAACCCGCGACCATCAGAAAGTAAATCGCTAGACCACCGGGGCAGTCATGTACAGAACATTACAAAAATAAAATGTAAAGTAAAAATCATTATTTTTGCGTCGATTAAAATTATGTGAATTACTGCCATTAAAATATAAAAATTAACTGTGACTACATTCAATTGGAGGAAACGGAAGTGGTTGTCTGTTTGAATCAATTTATTTGGAATTATATATATTACTAGCTGTTCCCGCGACTTCGTCCGCGTGGAATTTAACTTTATTTTTCTAAAATGAAAGTAGTCTAAACTACACCTTATTACATCAGCTACCTGCCAAAAAAGTCCGGTCAAAATCGGTCCAGTCATTTCAGAGATGAGCCGGAACAAACAGACAGACAGACAAAAATTGTAGAAATGTTGTTTTGGTGTATATTACCGTATTTATATTCATATGTATGTCGTAAAAAACGGTTCTTTCAATATTACAAACAGACACTCCAATTTTATTTACATGTATAGATTACTGGGTGCTATTTATGATTTTTTTGATATATAATAATCTAGATATGGATATAGAATACATCTAAATGTAATAGAGTATAATGAAGTATTAAGTAATTAAATGAATTTTATAATTACAATATCGAATAATTAGTTAATCGATACTTATAATTAAGTATAATTAATCGTTTGATGTTTACAAGAGGAAAGAGTCTTTGTTGTTGTTGTCTTGTTGAGATGAGCCGATTATTTGAAACTAGCTACTCGCCTCGTCTTCGCCCGGGTATACATGTATTATACATATAAAACTTCCTCTTTAATCACTCTATCTATTAAAAAAAGCGCATTAAAATCCGTTGCGTAGTATTAAAGATTTAAGGATACATAGAGACGGACAGACAGCGACAGCGACTTTGTTTTATACTATTAATGATGAATTACAGTCGTTCGATGTTTACAAGTGAAAAGAGTTTAAGTATGTATGTTTGTTTGTAATAGATGAACTCGAAAAGTATATGACCAATTTTATGAATTCTTCAACCTATGTCAATATAGATATGTATATATATGTATATATATATATATATATATATATATATATATATATATATATGGCTAGTTAATGCAAGGAGGTTGGTAGCCTACATATATATATATATATATGCATTTTTTTTAAATGTGTATGTTGACACAAAAAAAGCTTTTAATTCTGAGTCATATATCAGTGCCGGATTGGGTCAGAGCCGGGCCTGTAGCAAATACTTTGAAGAGATTTTGTTTAGAAAATGGTATGGTATAGGTTAAAAACAACAACACTAGAAATCACTATATATATATCTCTTACTCATTTGAAATTTTGTAGAAATTAATACAGAGATATATTTGTTTGTATGTACAGGGACGACCTCGGTGGATTAGTGATTTAGCACAGCGCCTTGACTCCGATGGTGACGGGTTGAATTCCTCGCACAATACAAACATTTTATTCATGAGTATGATTGTTCGTATCGGTCTGTTTTCTATGTATATTATGTACGTCATCATTGCCTTGCCTTTATCCCATTATTTGGGGTCGGCGCAGTATGTCATTCTCTTCCACTGCTCTCTATCCGTCGTCATATCTAAACATACACTTCTTTTATTCATATCATCTTTCACACAATCCATCCATCTTTTCTTAGGGCATCCCCTCCCTTTACATCCATGTATATTATGTATGTATTTGCAAAAAATAATGTATTTATGTATTTATATCAGTTGTCTAGTACCCATAACACAAGCTCCGCTTAGCCTGGGATTAGATGGCGCTGTGTGAATTACCCAGAATTATTATAATTATTTATATTTAGAGTTATTATTATTTCAGAATTTCAATATTTACAATTAAAAATGTTTTATATTTTTAGTTTTTGTTGTATTTTGATCAGACAAGTTGGGCACCGCGTACGTGACACCGCTTGTGTCAGGCGTCCATTGGCTATGGAAACCATTTACCATCAGATGGGCCGTATGCTTGTTTGCCACGATCGTAGTTCAAATTCAAATTCAAAATATCTTTATTCATGTAGGTCTATTACAGACTCTTATGATATGTTAAATCTACTGTCAGTTCGGAATGATTTCGATATGAGAAGAACTGACAAGAAACTCAGCTCGTATTCTTTTCAAATAAATGTTATACATATTTACAATAATACAGATTCATTTGGGATTTGGGTATTAGTATAAAGAAATTGATCAGTACACGGGCCCCGGGCGTTATAGGGCCCCCCTATAACGCGCGGGGCCCGCATTTTTTCTAAGCTAATTCAGCACTGATCACGTTATTATAATTTCAAAATTAAATACATATTACATAATATAAACATCCTCTTAGTAATATGCATTTAATAATAGTCCGGTCTGGGAATTTGATTTTTTGCATAAATTGTTATGCAATTTTTTATATCCATAGATAATCAATACACTGTTTATTATCCTGTTTTATTGTTAACCTTGATAAGTTGTATAGGTTAATAAAAAAACCAAAGACACTCTCACAGCATAGACAATCTCCCAAAATAGATATACTTAAAAATTGTTTTTTGAATACACATTCAAAATATACATAAAAAATCACCCGGATCTAAACAGAGTCATAACAGTGTGTTCATATACTCTTGAGTAAATAAATAATATTAATAATTACATAATACATATTATATATAGAAAACACACAGACCGATACAAACAGTCATGCTCATGAATACGAATGATTGTAAAGTGCGAGTAATCGAACCCACAACCAATGTAAGTAGAGCGGTGTGCTAAACCGCTTAAAAATATGTATTAATTAATTTATTTATTAAATATTTAATACACAAAAAAAGGCGCACATGGCGAATCACCTTGAGGCATTTTCTCCCAGTTAACTAAAGGGCAAATAAATTTAAAAAATAGCCCTAATTCAATCATTACGATAAAATATAATTAAATAAAAAGTTAATTAAAACGTCATACTTTATATTATATAAGCTGAAATATTAAATCGAACCAAAATATCTCGTATTAATATAGGTCTATTACAGACTCTCATGATTTGTCAAATCTAGTCTCTGTTCGGGGTGATTTCGAGCTAAGAAGAACTGACAAGAAACTCAGCACTTATCCTTTAAATAAGGTTGTACATGATTACAAAATGATACAGTAATAAAATAAAATATAAAAAAAACACGTCTTTTACTTGTTTAGAACCACATTTAGTCGTAATTTTAAAATTACGCTAAGTTTATAAAATTGGTGATATAATAAATAAATAGAAGCAGACAATGTCGGAGTTAACAGTCAATTTACTCTCCTATAGGGTACATAATTATTTAATTAAATTGTTATTAGGGTATATAATTTATTTAATTAAATTGTAATATTAAATGTAATATAAAAACTCACCTGTACTGTGTTTAGTTTCTATAAGCGCGAAACACAACTTCTTGGACGAATTCTTTTATGGTTTTGTTACACTGCGAGTTTAATTTATTATTAACATAATAAATAATAATTATTAATAAATATTGTAATTTAATAATATATAAAAATCATGTAAACATTTAAGAATTCTCGAATGTAATTAAATGAATATAAATATTTCAAATTAAGAACAACATTTAAAGAAAAAGTTATTCAATATTCAAAATTTATTCGAACTATTTTTGAATTTAGAATTTGCGTGAAAAAGTTATTCTGTATTCAAAATTTATTCGAACTATTTTTGAATTTAGAATTTGCGTGCAAAAGTTATTCTGTATTCAAAATGTATTCGAACTGATTTTGAATTTAGAACTTACGTGCGTCAAACGTGGCACGCACGCGCTACTAGTCGGTTCAATATTCAAAATTTATTCGAACTATTTATGAATGTAGAATTTGCGTGAAAAAGTTATTCTGTATTCAAAATGTATTCAAACTGATTTTGAATTTAGAACTTACGTGCGTCGAACGTGGCACGCACGCGCTACTAGTCGGGCAAGTTTAAGGGCACGACCGTCAATAGCGATATAACGCTTGGGCGCTCGTGCCGCGCGACATTATGCGATACTTAACCAGCGATTACTTATTAATAATGATGACGTCATTAGTTATTTATTCCCATGCAATTAGTAATGACATAAATGTACATACATTAAGACAATTTATTCAAATTCGATGACTTAACGGAATACACATTATTAACACATGTTCTAAATTCAAATTCCAATCCAGTCAATTTATGATATGCGCGTAACATGTAAGAAAAAGGACGAGAACAAAGATGTTAAATAAAATAACAATTCAGTACAATATTAATTATATATTTAAAGATATGTAATCTATACACCTATATAATATTGGAGTGTCTCTTTGTAATATTGTAATAACCGTTTTTTACTACATGCATATGAATATAAATACGGTACATACACCAAAATAACATTTTTTACAATTTTGCCTGTCTATCTGTCGGTCTGTTTGTTCCTTTTTTTGGCAGATAGCTAATGTAATAAGGAGTATGTAACTAGCTTAAAAATACTTTTTTAAATTTTAGAAAAATAAAGTTAAATTCCACGCGGACGAAGTCGCGGGTACAGCTAGTTAATTATATAAAATAATAATTATTATTATTCAAATAAACTTAATACAAACAGTTTCAATAGGCATATTTTTGTTCTATCACACATATAGAAAGCAAACTCATCACTAGAAGAATGGGTGAAATGAATATAACGGCTGAGTCAGTCAACACTGTGCTCGACCATATTTTAGGAAGCCTAAAAAGTCGCCCTATTTGTTATTTATTGCCATGAGTATATAATAATAATATAATTTATTTATTTCTCCTCACAAACATGATGACAACAATACATGTAATATTTTTTATAGTAAAATACTTAAATTTATTATTTGAATCGATTTGCTGTGAGGAGCTGGTGTCTACAATAGCTATAACCTGTAATACAGATCACCAGGCCCTATGGCAAACGCAATATATATTAGAAGGGACAATTATTCTCAAGACAAAAAGTTATGTTTAAGAAATGTACGAGTATATGTATTAGTAATAAATAAATAAATTATTCTCATATCAAAAAGTCATATCTGAGAATTGTTACTGTTGCATAATATCGTCCGATATATTTACCATATAATAAGTAATTCTTATTTCTTATTGACCACCTTTATTGCGTGATGCAGTGAATAACATTACATCTGCATAATATGTGAGATGTATTACAATTAGCTAAATGCCCATCCTATGACTATAAGAACAATGGTTTTTATTTTATTATTTAGATCTGTAGCAATAAGTTTAGCCGTGCATGCTTTGAAAGACTAAATATGTGACACCTTTGTGTGGAATTATAGAGCACAGCATTACAAGAACTCGCTGGAACTATTACATTATTAGTTATCATGGATGTATGAGTATTGGTATCATTTAAAAGCCAGTTTGTTTACAATTCATAGGTATTTATATAGGTGTCTATGTTTAACATTAAATGAAAATCCCGTACATGAACAACTATTGCCATGCACGCTCGTCATTCAAGTAATCGTTTAGTGAGTAATAGGCCTTGCTCAGTAAATATGATTTAACAGATGTTTTGAATTTATTTAAGAGTAATTCCAGTATATCCTTTGGTATCTTATTATAAATTTTTATAGCTATTCCCATAAAAGACCTATTGACTTTTTCTAAATGATACTTGGGGACAGCAAGTTTGTCTTTAAATCTAGTATTAATATTATGAATATTGCTGTTTTTTGTAAATAAGTCAAGATTTTTATGAACATATAGGATATTTGAATATATAAATTGAGAAGCAACGGTGAGAATATTTGCCTCTTTGAATTTCTCTCTTAATGAGTCACGACTCTTCATACAGTAGATCGCTCGAATGGCATGTTTTTGTAATATGAATATATTTTTAATATCTGCCGCTTTTCCCCATAGTAATATTCCATAAGAGAGTAAACTATGAAAATAACTAAAATAGACCAATCTAGCAGTATCAGTATCAGTGTACTGTCTAACCTTACGCACGGCAAAAGCGGCTGAACTCAGTTTCGCTGCAAGACTTTGAATTTGTGCACCCCATTGTGTGTTATTATCTAATGTGATTCCTAGAAAGACGGTAGATTCTATAAATTCGAGAGAGTCATTTAAGTTTATGTTGCAATTAGTATTAAAACTTTTAGACAGAGAAAAATTATCACATTTTGTTTTTTTAGCGTTTAACATAAGATTGTTAGTTGTAAACCAGTGTAAGAGATGACGCAAAGCTATATAAAGCTTGATATATAATATAACTGTAAAGTTTCATTAAAATCCGTTTAGTATTTTTTGCATGAAAGAGTAACAAACATCCATCCATACTTTCGCGTTTATAATTTCCATGCGGACGAAATCGCGGGTTCCCGCTAGTTTATATATAAAATTGTATGTTTCCGTGTATTAATAATTCTTTTTTACAAATACAGAATCTTCAAGCGTTGTATTGGTGAAGCACAATTAACACAGTTTAGTGGCGTATTAAAGACAAAAAAATATAGAAGTTCAGATATGTGTTAATTGGATCGCAAGGTAAACCAATTCCCATAAACAGAGCCCAGGAAAAACAGCCACAGGAAGTATGATGTAAATCCATATAGTACATACTATAGGTATTATGAAAATACGTCTGAGCAAGACGCCTTTTGTTGGTATTTTTGGGATGAAAATGTCATGTATTGGGATTATATCTGTCAAATCATATTTACTTAGCAAAGCCTGTTACTCACTAAACGATTACCTGAATGACGAGTGTGCATGGCAATAGTTGTTCATGCACGGAATTTTCATTTAATGTTAGACATAGACACCTATATAAATATACATTGTAAATAAACTGGCTTTTAAAAAAACAAATTAAAATAGTTTCTAGCGAATTCTTCTCAATTGAATACTGTATACTGTACTGGACGGTAGGGAAATTATAAAATAAAAAATTTGATGTTCATAAGCAGTTAAAATGTTCTACAATTAATAAATGATTTTTGAATATTGAAATTTTTTAATTTTGTGTATAGAACAACTCGAGAAATACCAAGATTTGTTGTACATCCGTGCGAAGATGGGACAGGTCGCCAGTATAATATAAAATTAAATAAATATCTATATACAGTGAGCAATATGCAATTAAGTAAGTGATTATTTATATTTGCATTCAAACCGTTAAGTTAAATGAGGTACGTACTGAACTTATTGTCCGTACTCAAGTATTTACATATCAAAAAACCAGTTGAAATTCTTCTGCCTTTACCCATTAAGCTAAAAGGTATTTACAATTTTTTTTGTGTGCAACAGTTCTTCATTAGATTTCAACAAAAGATATCCACGATGTAATTGTTTTGATACAATCAAAATATTTAAAATATCCACTATCATTGGCATGCGCGAGACCACAAATATACAGTGGAAACCTGACCACCTAGATGCAGGCGACAGAATATTCTCAAAACCGTTACAGATCAGTATGAAAACTTCGATAATTTAACCAAATGTGTGAAAAATATACTATAAAAAAAAATCGCGAATGCTGCGGAAATCATTAACAATAAAGCAAAGTGATGTTTCCTTTTTTTTTTTTTAATTGTGATGAAGCCCCGGATATTAATTTCCAGGATTGCTACTAATGCTAATCAGAGTGATGTACTACAGTTTTTTTTTTTGTGAATGATAATGGTATGGTGCACCCGCCTGCGCTAGCGGTTTACGCTGGCGGGGCACCAGTGGAGGATGATAAGATGAGCATGAGGTCAGGTCAGTTAGCCCATATTGACAAATTCACCAAGAATTTATCACGATGATTCCCAGGGGGAACCGCGTGGAGGTCGACCTAACATGGTACATTGCTAGCAACGGGAGTTCCTAGTTCCCATTACTAACAATGCCCTTCCCCCCGATGTACTACAGTTGAGTAGGAGGACATCAATATCGAATAGTGTATATATTTTTTTATGAATACATACATATACATATATATAAACACCTCTTTGGGCACTTTGTTGATCACGCCACAACCTACACACTTGCCGATTCCACCTTTTGCACTGAATAACTTGACTCCTATCGCGTATATCTCAGGCGGTATGGCAACGTCGCATTCTATTTTGCGATGCGGCCATATATATTCGTCGATAGTACGATATACTCGACACTTTTTTTACTAATAATTCGTGACTGAATGGCTCCGAACGGCTAAATTTTTGGTATACACAAAGACTTTTTGGCTCTGAATATATTCCAAAAATCAATTAATTATGTTGATCACTTTATATACTCGTCCTTACTGCGATACTTACTTTCATCCGAATATATATAGATACCGTAACGGTCTATCAATTATGACTTTATTAATTTACTAATGTAGATATTTTATATTCGCAATGCTCCATACACGCAAGCTCCAGCAACGGTGGAGGCAGGGTCCCCCTGCACCGTACACCGCACCCGCGCACACAAACAAATTAGATATTTTTTGAATACACAAAGACTTTTTGGCTCTGTATATATATTTCAAAAATCAGTTAATTGTGTTGATCACTTTATATACTGGTCCTTACTGCGATACTTATTTTAATCCGAATATATATAGATACCGTAACGGTCTATCAATTATGAATTTACTAATCTAGATATTTTATATTCGCAATGCTCCATACATGCAAGCTCCAGCAACGGTGGAGGCAGGGGGGAGCACCGTACACCGCACCCCGCGCACATAAACAAATTAGAATAAATTAAATTCATAAGATTATTTATATATTTCGACTGCCTCGGTGGTCACACCGCTTTACATCCGATGGTCGCGCGTTCGATTTCTCGCACGGTGCAAACAATTGTACTCATCGGTCATCGATTGTTTTCATCGGTCTGGGTGTTTTATATGTATATTATATATGTATTTACAAAATAAAAATATCTATATCAGTTCAGTATCAGTCT